ATCGAGCTGCGGTGGAGCTGTTATACGTTGTGGCGGTTAGATCTGCCTGTGGATCGAGCTGCCTTGGTGTGGCGGTTAGATCTGCCTGTGGATCGAGCTGCCGTGGTGTGGTGGTTAGATCTGCCTGTGGATCGAGCTGCCATGGTGTGGCGGTTAGATCTGCCTGTGGATCGAGCCGCCATGGTGTGGCGGCTAGATCTGCCTGTTGATCGAGCTGCCGTGGTGTGGTGGTTAGATCTGCCTGTGGATCGAGCTGCCGTGGTGTGGCGGTTAGATCTGCCTGTGGATCGAGCTGCCATGGTGTGGCGGTTGGATCTGCCTGTGGATCGAGCTGCCGTGGTGTGGCGGTTAGATCTGCCTGTGGATCGAGCTGCCATGGTGTGGCGGTTAGATCTGCCTGTGGATCGAGCTGCCGTGGTGTGGCGGTTAGATCTGCCTGTGGATCCAGCCGCCGTGGTGTGGCGGCTAGATCTGCCTGTGGATCATCGTGGGTTCAGGTCCTGATGGAGCCAGACTTTTTTTGTTTAAAATTATCTGAACTAACTCAATACCATCACTGAGCTGTTATGTGTTATGATTGCAAGATCTATACCATCACTGAGCTGTTATGTGTTATGACTGCAAGATCTATACCATCACTGAGCTGTTATGTGTTATGATTGCAAGATCTATACCATCACTGAGCTGTTATGCATTATGATTGCAAGATCTATATCATCACTGAGCTGTTATGTGTTATGATTGCAAGATCTATACCATCACTGAGCTGTTATGTGTTATGACTGCAAGATCTATACCATCACTGAACTGTTATGTGTTATGATTGCAAGATCTATACCATCACTGAGCTGTTATGTGTTATGATTGCAAGATCTATACCATCACTGAGCTGTTATGTGTTATGATTGCAAGATCTATACCATCACTGAGCTGTTATGTGTTATGATTGCAAGATCTATACCATCACTGTATAACACTACAATATGAACATTGAAAATCTACATAAGTATTTCCGGATCCTCTACGGTGTAGCGGAGTTCGTGCACTGCGCTGTTGTACTTCTAAATCAGGCTTGAGTTGGAAGTATAACGGAGCACTTATGGGTTATAACCGTGTGCACTGATGTTGATCCGTCAAGTAAACTAAACTATGAACATATATTCACATATGTTGGCCAGTTTGTGCTATGGTCCTAGTGCACCCTCCTCCCATGATATGACCACTCTCACAAACAATGCTTGAAAATCATGATCGGCTTCCAACTCGAAAAACAGAAGGCTGCTGATTCAGAACATTTTTGTCAAGGTGCTAGAGCGGCTTGGCACTTCACCTGCCGGCCCGAAGTGATAGATTCCAATCCAAATAGAGTTGGATTTTTTTTTTAAATAGTCATCTTCGCTGCCAGGTCGGTTAAGCCTAAAGTGAGTACCAGGCCCTCCAAAAAGAGGGGTACATGGAAAGTTAAGGTGACCAAAAGTTATTACACAACACGATGCGCTACTGGCGTGAAAATGGCACTAGACCACCGCATTTATTGCTCAACTTTCAAATACACGACTGCAGCCATTACCAATATATACTGGAATAATGGATATCTATCCCTACGAAGTTAAGAAATGTATGCCAGTAGTGATGATTCTTGACAAGGGATGCTGAAGTTGTTTCCTTCTACAGTGGCAGGGGCAATGGTAGGGGGAGATGCAATTTAATTTACGGATGAATTTAAAGTTAAAAACAAAACACACTAGAAAACAGAATACAGAAGGCCAACAACATACATTACTAAATAGTACCACTTTTAAGGCATCAACATATAGATATACATACAACAAAGAAGCTGATAAGTGCGATATTCGTGCTATCTTCATGTTACCAATAATAGACATGGACAGTCCCAGACAAATATAATATAAACGCAAAATTACACCACGTGAGGTAAGGTGTACAAGAAATGTGGCGGGAAAAAACAGAAGGGAGTAATGATGAATTAAAAACAATGGCAGGCATAGTATCAGTAAATGACTTCACAGAATATCAAGGTTTGAGGGTTTGAACAACGGATCAAACATCGTGGCACACGGGTAGAAACACATAAGTGCACCGTTCTTCTTCTAACTAGTCTGAAATATTTGGGTAGATTTTTAACTCCAAATTTTGCCCGGGCAGCGCCTCTAGGCTAATCTTTTCGATTTCCATTAATAATGAACATGGGAGTCCGATCTCACTATCCAGATACCAGGGGGAATTACTAGAAGTCCAAGTCCACGTGGAAAAAAATCCCACCCCTTAATGGGGATTGAACCCGGAACCTCTAGCACCCGAGGCGGACACCCCATGACTCGAGAAAACGCAGTTCTCCCATCCCCTCTATAATATCACAGAATCAAACTGTTTGGTGAGAGCGTAACAAAATCAGCTGGCAGCTGGAGCCAACTAAATGAGAGCAGCAGGCTACAAGGCAAGAGGCCGACGGAGAAAGAGACTGGTGGAGAGACATTACAGAAATGCAATAAAACAAACAACCTCCAGTGTAATCGTTACCTGCTAATGCTTACACAGGTGAATTGATCACGCCTCACCACTGAGTCCATGAGATATGAGATTGTGTGACGCTCATCACCTTTATGAAATTTGTTTGGCACCCATTTCTATGAGATTGTTGCCCAGAGCCATACTAATCAGGAAATTGTTATGTTTGTGCTTGTGATCATGGAGTGTAGGAAATATGAAAACCAAAAGAAAACCATTAACTAACTATATACAATTGCGTAAACTACCTATGATGACCGAAAACTTGTTGCACACAAATAGACCCAGAGACCTACGAGTCAAGGTCAAGCAATTTATTACTAAAACTAAAATCCAAGATAGAAGGGTAAACAATGCCCATGCCATCTTTGTTTATTGTGATCGATTTTTTAAAGCTAACATAAACTATTTGTTCTTTCTTACCAACTTTTTCTCTTCCCTATAATTTTCTACCCCTTTAAAAACTGCCATCGCTAAAGAACTTTCCCCTAAAGATAAAATCGAGGAGAATAATCAACTATTTAATTAAGAGAATAATTTCATCCAACATATTAATGACACACAATGTTAGTCGCATTGTCTAATTATTCATAGTACAATTTTTATCATAATCATAACCAAAATTAAAGCAATATGCGAAACAATACAAATCAAATAAGCAATATTCACCGTCCTTTTCAGGATGAAATTTCTCGTTATTTGAAGCCCTACTCTGGCTCTTGCCAGGGGCCACAATATAGCCAGGCCATAAATATGGCCTAGTGGCTGAACGCGGTTTCTGGGACCTCTCCAGGGTGATCATCACCCACATGGTGGCACATCGCTTGTGTGATGTCCTGGTGGGGTAGAAAGTCAGTCAGTCAGACAATACAAATCGGTCATATAAATAATTAAGCGATACATAAATATAAAATAAGAAATATATACTTTAAGAAATCAGTTAACACTTTATATCCCAATTATAACCATGAGGGCTGAACAGGATATTTTTGGGGAAAAAATAACTTCTACTGGGAGTCGCCGTGGCGGAGCGGCTAAACGCTCCCAGCGGATGAGAAGGTCGTGGGTACGCTCCCTGGCGAGCCAAACTTTAAAGAAAATGACCTTGGCTCCAAGGTCGACCCAGTCTCGAGTGGGTACCGGGTGCAGTCCCGGGAAGTAGAGGCGGCCGGCGTGATGCTGACCACATCACCTATCTTGTGCCGATTGGTCTTTAAAATATAGGTCTAGCCCTATATGCCATATACGCCAAAAGGCATGGACAAGGCTCCTTTACTTTACTACTACTACTACTTACTACAGACTACTACTGCTAACTACTACTACGATACTATTACTATCAGGCGCACCACCGTTAATTTATCATTAGAAGGGGCCCTCAACTCCACCATCCTACAACCTTCACCCCACTGTACACACTTTTAGAGGTAAAAATTTAGAGCGGAGAGGAAGATTTTTTTTTTTTTTTTAAATTAGGAAAACATTATTGGAGTTGGGGGCTGGGTGGCTTAGCCAAACCCGCAACTACGTCCTCCTCACCATGTAGGTGAAAGCTTGGGAGCTCAGACCTCATAAGCCCCTCCCCTCACCCTGTATATGTAAGAAAACATTGGGGGACTCCGAAACTACGCCCTTGTAACCACATTGCATATTTTGTAGGCAAATAATTGGCTGGGTAGGAATGCTCAGGAAGGGGGGGGGGGGAATGCTCTTTAAGGGACATGAAACCCCAGGTTTTAGTGCCTATGTGAACAGTTTTCCACACACTCCCATCCAGCAAACTGTGTTTACTGATAACACAACAGATAGGCTCTAACGTCTGAACACTGGCAACGTTGTTCTAGTCTATAATACATCTGGACAGGAAACAATAAGTAAAACCAACTGTTTATTATTATAGCTGAGGTTGATCTAGAACATTACAGCACTCCTTAAACACTTTTACCTGAAGTCGCTGAACTGATGCTTACAATAGTTTAGCTTCAATAAACAGGCTTACGCTAAATAGCTTAAATAGCACCCCCCCCCCCCCATATTACAGATTTGGATGGAGGGAGCTCCCATCACCTTTGATTATTATTATGCCCTGACAGCCCAACTCATGTAATGCACTTGGAGGGGGGGGGGGCAATTTTATTTGTGTTGATGTCATTGATAATAATAGTTCATCATTCTCTCTCTCTCTCTATCTCTTTCTCTCTCTCTCTCTTTCTCTCTCTCTCTCTCTCTCTCTCTCTCTCTCTCTCTCTCTCTCTCTCTCTCTCTCTCTCTCGCATATGCTTATTTCAGTGAAAGTCATTATTTATCACGGTGATGTGGTCTGTGGCGTTATCTGTACTTCTGATATCACTGTTAATAATATTACTTACTATTCCTGCAACCCAGCATAGCTCTCCCATGTATAAAGTATTGAAATAAAAATGGCTGACCAAAGTTGTACTTTCGATATCGTTTTGATGTTTGGGCCAGACATGGGAGTTTGTATATTTCTGGTTTTGCTAATTTTAGTATAAATTTATAAACTGAGTAAAATGTATACTAGACTTCATAATGATAGTCAGTGACTACTCTGAATTGAATTTTAATTAACACTTGAGTTGAGACCATTTAATTTTGATTGTGTATGTATGACGTCCTTCTGGGCCGTCTCTGTAGTGTCTTCCTAATTTTTCTCGACTGTTTGTAGTTTGTTAGTTAAGGATGCTAGTAAAGTTTGGCTCTCCTCCGAAAATCTACCCAATATTATGGCGGCCAAGCAAATAGCCTAGCAGGGCCTCAGTCGTGTGTAAAATGCAGACTTTCTGCCAAGGAACAAATAGCGGCAAAACTAGGATTACTTGATAATTTCAAGAAACGCAACACTGCAGACGATAGTAACAGACGATAAAACTATAGCGACCGTTGACAACTGCAAGCATATCTGCAGATGACACTAGCACACGTTAATAGCGACCATTGACAATTTCGAGACACTCAACATTACAGACGATGACGACAATAGCCACATGGTGGGGAGACCACGCGCTCCGACGCAGATTAGCCTCGTTGTTGTCCTCACACTTTTCGGCATGCGCAAAACGCGGTTAAACTCACCATCAACAGTATCCCCTACACGCGGCGCAGATTGGGGTCTAAACTAGATGCCTGGGACTCACAAGCAAATAAATTAGAGGAAGTTGCAGGAGATTGGGTAGCTGCTGCTCGTGAGTCACAGTAATCTAGTTTAGCCCCCCATCCGCGCCGACTCATGTCGGCGGTCGCAGAAATAGGTCCGCAATTAACATATCGCTGAGACCCTGTTAGAGCATTTGTTTCATTATTTGGAACCTATCCTAGTTTTGCTGCGATTTGTTCCTTGGCAGAAAGTCTGCATTTTACACTTGACTGAGACCCTGTTAGGCTATTTGCTTGGCCGCCATAATATCGGGTAAAAGTTCGGAGAAGAGCCAAAGTTTTATATACTGTGTTTTTACTTACGAAACCATCACAGCTAGACAGAGATTAAAATATCACATCCAGCGATACCTCACTGAACCATGTAAGCAATTGTAAGTGTATATATTAACATTTTAGTGGTGTGTATAGACTATAAACTATATGGCTCTCCTGAAAACTTCGTCCCCATATTATGGCGGCCACACAAATACCTTAACAGGGCCTCAGTCATGTGTAAAATGCGGAGTGCCTGCCGAGGAACAAATCGCTGCAAAACTATAATTGTCTCAGAATAATGGGCCAATATTATCGAGGGCAAACAAATACTCTAACAGGGTTTCAGTGAAATGTTAATTGCAGACCTCTTTCTGGCGACTTTACCGCACTATCGACAGTATCCCCCGCACCGCTACGTGAGGCGCGGTTGGGAGGCTAAACTAGATGACTGGGGCTCACGAGCAAATAAATAGGAGGAAGTTGCAGGAGCCATCTAGTTTAGATATGCGCAGAGCGGCGCGGTGGATACGCTCGATGATGAGTTTAAAGGGAGAACACTATCGCTAACCTGTGTTGGAGTGTGTGTTCTCCCTGCCATATCGCTATTATCGTGTGTATTGTTGCGTTTCTCGAAATTGTCAACGGACAGTAATCCTATTTTTGCCAATTGTGTTCATCGGAGGAAGTCCATATTTTACACACGACTGAGGCCCAGTAAGGGTATTTGTTTGGCCGCCATAATATGGGAACGAAGTTTGGAGGAGAGCCGACTATAGTATTATTAGTATACCATCATAAACAAATTATAAGCGTGACACAGCAACATAGGACAGGCACTACAACAAGACCAGGGATGAATGGCAAGGAAAGTCACTCACTTTCTGGGCCTTGAGTTCGTGAGCTGTACCCATTTACCAATTTACCAGTCCTGAAGAGTGTGTTTGCATTGATTTGTGTTGAAATAGCTTCAAAAGGAGACTCTGGATTGTAAAGATTGTTATTTGTTGATGGAAGAATGTGATAAGTGATGCTAGTCTATTGTGTCATTATCACTGTAGCCAGAGGAGATACTCACCACGCAGCTACAGTGGTTGAAGATTCAAAAAACATAATTCGTGTAATATCTGTACAAACTTAATTACTAAAAATATAGACCATATGGCCTGATGGGTGAAATTATCAATGGCTAGGGGTGCTCTGGTAAATCTGTCCCAAAATGGTAGTAATGTCAACTTTTAAAAATGACAGTTGCTAAATTGGTTGCAGATTTCAAAAATCAATTTCTTATAACTAGCACTTTAGTAAGTATTATATCTTAATTGCAAAATGCAGTGATGGGTGATGTGCTCTAGATGAATGGGGTGATAAAGCAGATATCAAACAGCCAATACTGCAAAACTTAAAGAAATGACAGTTGCATTAAAAATGCTACAACTGTTGTAGATTTCAAAATCATAACTCATATATAACAGCTGCATTTCAGTATAAATTTTAACATAATTACTATGTTTAAATATGGTGGCATGATAATTAAAATTCATATTCAGATTTTGAGGTTACTGGGTTAAAAAAAAATTAACAAACAGACAATGCTGTTAACCGAAAATTATGAGAAATGCCTGACAAAATGCTAAAGTGGTTGTGGATTTCAAAAACATAAATCCAGTACATTCAATACTGAAGTAAGCATTTCAAGTAATAGCCAAAAAAATGTTCTGAAAATGTGACTATGATGAGCATGAATGGCATATTAAAGGGAAAATGAACTTTAAATGTTTTAAATCAGAACACAAAATGGGACTAGTTATCAATCAAGATAAAACAGAATACATTATAATAATAACAAGACAGGGGAAGTACATAAACTCTGGCCACATACAAGTGGGTAATGTGAAAATAAGACGAACGGAAGCATATACGTATTTGGGTGCAAACTTCAACTGCTCCAACATGCTGAGAGAAGAAATACTATCTAGAATACAATCTGGAAATAAAGTATACTATGCTCTTGAACATCTGCTTAAGTCAAAGTCTCTATCTCGCAACACCAAGATCAAAATATATAAAAAGTTGATAAGACCAGACGTTTTATATGGCTGTGAAACTTTGAGCACAACTAAAATAAATGAAGCCTCATTACAAATTTTCGAAAACAGAGTATTACAACGAATCTTTCAACCATCAAAGATGCAAATAGCAGGGAATGGAGAGTGAGAAGCAACAACAAAGTTCATAATCTGTTTAAATTACCACAAATCACTGGCATCATGAGATCTAATAGACTGAAATGGCTTGGGTATATTAAGAGAATGTCAAATGACAGAGCAGTAAAAACTATACACAAGGAAGATGAATGGTCGTAGACCACGAGGGAGACCAAGAAGGTGATGGAGAGTTAATGTCCAGACAGATCTGCAAACACTTGTGTCACCAACTGGAAAGAGAAGGCCAACCAGAGAAAGGAGTGGCGGCGGTTGATATCTGCAGCGATAAACCTCAAGCTCTCAGAACCCTGAAGAAGAAGAAGGCAAATGAAATTCAGTGGTACCTCATTCAAGCCTCTACGTCAATTCTAAGCCGAGATATCAATTTGTTTAAAGCTAATTTATATAAATAATTTGAACATATATATTTTTTTCAGCGCTTTAAGAAAATGTGTTTTAATTATAAATTTGTTGTTTCTTGACATATAGATAGCAACCATATATGAATATGTTTGTGACAATAAGACCTAACAGAATACAACATTATTTATTGAATACAGAAAATTTGAAAATATATATTTAATCCATTTATTCATCATAAAAATTTAACTGCCATCGAGTCATTACTGTACAGCTCGCATCGCCATCTGCTGCCATTAGTAAATGTAGAAAATATTGGCCATTGCTTCACAGCACCATAAGATTTAAGAACTTGTTTAAAGACATTTTTAAACAACTTGAATGGTTGCACTTTTGAAGTGCATGTTGAATAAAATTGTATAAGAATTAACATTGAATGAGGATGCATAATATTTTTTTATTTTTGTTATTGTCGTGGTTCATTATAACTGACAGTGACGCTCCCAAATTTGTCTACTGCTGCCTCACAGTACTAAACGATTTAGGAATTCAGTGAAGAATCCTTTTTCACTCACCCATAAATTTTCTCAACACACATTAAAATTAATTAAATATTTCATTTTGTAAGAATTAACATTGCCTCAACTCTGTAGTGCATTAAAACATTTTAATTCGCCGTCGTCCATTGCAGCAACCCGCAGGTTCATTTACCATGCAGTAGCATACTCTACTATAATTTTTTGTAGAGATGACTTTTCATCAGCCGTGGAAGTTCAGACTTTCCATATTTACATAAAAATTAATGCTGTTTTATTCTATAAAGATCAGCACTGTCTATGAGTTGGTAAAAGAAATTACTTAAGTTCTACTTACTTCTTAGCAGTACAGCTGAAATCTCTCAACACATATATGATATTACAGCCCTCACAATTAATGTATATAGCTAACCGTATGGAGAACAGAAGTTAGTCATCTATTCTGGTAATGACTGTGATATTGAAATAACTGGAGATTTTTACTTAACATATGTGCAAATCAGGTGAATTCCATGACACACTTTTTAATTTTCTGTTAAAGCAGTGCTGTATATCTTTGGCCGCCATTTGTTGACAGATGCATATGCTAATTGTATTAATAAATTTAATAGTTGGTGATAGGTCGAAGTGTAGGATATTAATTACTATTACTTCAACTAAGAGCACCAGTAACTATTGGTCCAGTGATATATTGTAAATATGATGAATTTGTCCATGCTGTTTGATCCTTGCTGCATGGCAAGTATGTGACCTAGCCGAGATTAATCACGGATACACCAGTAGACATGCATGACCTGTCTAAGGTTGTCATAACTATGGGGAGGTGCTGCAGGAGTCAGATACAGGTGTCATCAGTCATTTTACACTTGTGGAGCTTCTGAGGAGGAAATCGGAGCACATATGGATCTGTCCCGAGTGCTGTGATAAAACCCTTTCTAATCACTAATCACTATTTGACAGCACAATCATCAAAGACAAGACTACAAAAGTAAGTAAGTTGTAAAGTAAGTAAATAAAGAATCTGGTCTATACCCATGTTGCATCGGGCATATGATGTTAGGTCCATTTTTGTATAGACCAGTCAGCAATTGATGTGTGATGTGGCCAACATCATACCAGCCATCTTTACTTCACAAACTACTGGCCTTTCATTTTAAATGTTTTTGTTTTTAATTTATTAACTTTTGCTCTTTTGAAATTCTTTGCATTTTGGTAAGACATCAGTAATTAAACAACTGGTCATGACTGTCTGTTGGAAAGGGGCAGATTGGAGATGAGGTAGTTTGGGGAAGGGAGAGGAAAGGTACAACAAATGTGTTTTTATACTATTCATGTTTTTTTACCCAGCAGTTTTGTTTCTCTCTTTAGAATAAATGTGATTATCTGCCTTCAACATTTTGGTCTGAAAATGCTGAAATTATTTGCCCTGAGGATTTATATATGGAGAACCCTGAATATGGACTGAGAGACATTGCATTAAAAGTTGTCAGTTTTCTTAGACAGGTATATTTTTTTTAAGTTTTGGACATTGTAACTATTGTATGCAATTAATGTGGTGGTAGAGGGGTTGATGTAGTAAACTGTTAACAGTTTCCATCTCTAGTTTCTTCTTCTTTGCATTCAGTGGCTGTAAACTCTGGCCAAAAGTTCTGGTCGATCATCCATTTCTGCACTTTAGTCTTGTTCCAGAACCTGAGTTTTGCGTGCACATCAGTTTTATAGATCTGGCTTTTTTTTATACAAACTGTTAATTCCTCACTTGTCAGGCAGATACACTCCGGCTTCAAAGGAATTCATCTCTAGTATTGGCCTCTGTTAACTGTTTTAGTACCAGGGGATTTTGCTTGAAATACTTAAGGAGATAATAGATAGATGAAAAGAGCGTGAATATAGTACTTTCAAAGAAACAACATTTCCTGTGCTGTATGTTAGCATTTCTATCCAGATTTCTTTAGCATTCTCAAACCAAATGTAAAATACATAAGTACACACCATTCTTTGTTTGATACACATTGATTGTAGCTGGTCATACACAATATATTGGTTGGGATAGAAAGAGTTAACTCTTTCTCTACCTTGCAGTGCACTGTACCTTCATTTATTTATTTTTTTAACTATTACAGTTTCTATCTATGACTTGCACACTGACTCAGTTACTTTTTTATCAAAGCAAATGAAAAACCAAAAACAGGAACTGATAAAGGGCATACTTTTATGTAGGAACTGTCAGACATTTTATAAATCTTTCTTATTCTTATAGTCCATACCATGTGACATTGATAGTCATGTGTGTCTGCCTTCTTCTGTCATGTGCACTTTTATTCATTTTTGACACAAGTGATCTACACACCATACATTATTATAGTTCATTGAAATTGCTTCCATTGTAGAACAAACAAGTGCTGATTGATGATGAGTTGCGTTCCAGATTAATGAGGAAAAGTCTTCTAGAGACTCTAAAGAAAAAGGTAAGTTTATTCTTCTTCTTCCTCTTCTTCTCAGCATTCGCCGGTTTTAAACTTTGGCAGGGCTTGACTTGACTTTCTACCCCACCAGGACATCACACAAGCGATAAACACCCGATGACACAAAGTGCCACCATGCGGATGAGGATCACCGTGGAGAGGTCCCAGAAACCGCGTTCAGACAATTGGCCATATTGATGGCCTGCCTATATTGCGGCCCTTGGCAAAAGCCAGAGTGGGGCTTCAAATAACAAAAAATTACGTCCTAAAAAGGGCATAAGGATGTATCTAACTTTGGCAGGAAGTTTGGATTGTTTGTTGACTTCTGGACTTTGGTCTTTTTTCCAGAACTTGAGTTTTGCATATCCATTTTACAGATTTGACTTAATTGAATGCTCACTGTTAGTTCCTTGCCTCTCAGGCAGATGCATTCCGACTTTGAAAGAAAGACCCCTAAGTCGCCTCCTTTAGCATGCTTGTTGGAAGGAGGAATACGTTAGGGGGGGGGGGGGGAAAATTGGTGGCAATGGCTCTGTTCTTTAATACCCCCTTCCCCAAAATGATGTCCAGGAACCCGCACAGCATTGCCAGAATACAGGATGCACTTATGAGGATAAAACTCATATCAAGGCATCCAGTAGAACCCACTGGAAAACTTCCTGCCTAAAACACTTACTATCTAGAAGACTTACTATCTAGAACACTTCCCATCTAGAACACTTCCCATCTAGAACACTTACCATCTAGAACACTTACCATCCTGAAGAATCATTTAACCTCCTCATATGAAAGTAACACACCATTGTATTTAGATTACTGACTGGGCATGGCAAACTCTGCAGCCCATGTGCACAACAGACTCCGAAGACATGTTCACAACAGACTCCCCAGCCATGTGCACAAGAACTTCAAGACTGGGGACTCAGAAGTTAGCATTGAACCAAATCACTGACCTTCCCTTGTATTTGTTGCAGTAGAAATGATTTTTGTATGATTTGTTTTCAGGTTCCATCGTGCAGAGTTAAGCTGGTACAGCTAATTCCCAAGTATGGCCTGTTGCAAGTTTTGTGGTCACTTCAGTGGGCACAAGCTGCAGGAATGGTGAAGGCAACCTCTAAAGATGAAGAGCACTTGAAACTCTGGTTCGATTCATCATTGCACAAGATTGACTACACTACAGGTTTTGGTAGGTTTTAAGGTTTTATTACAGTCTTCATTGTTGATGATGCTGAGAGAGAAAGACGAGAGTCTCTGTGGCAAAGTGGTCAAGCCATTTACCTCACGCTCTGAAAGTCAAGGATTTGTTTCAAGGCTGTGTCATGTTTGGTTAACGATTGCAATTTTTTTACCATCCCTGGAGGAATCATCCATGGAGCTACAGAGTTTGTGCTTTGTGATATGCTGGTAGCTGATCATTCTGCAGAGATAGACTAAGTCATATGGGATAAAATCCGGTGTGATAAAGCCGATCCTCTCTATATTTAACTTTAACTGAAAGAAAAAAGAGAGACACACCATCCTGCATTTGAAATTGTAATTACCATCTATGAGGCTGGGTATATCTTGCAAATGAAGCTGAATTATTGGTGCGTCCTGTAATTTGATGCCATTTGGGTCATCCAATTGAAATTTATAGCAACTTTGTGTATTTGATACAGACACCTGAGTAAAGTATAAAAATGCAAATATCCACACACACAAAAAAACCATGAACAAATTTAAAGATTATGAAAGATGGCTGACTCAGATCAGTGAAGGTAAAAGGATACTGTTGTTAGCGGTATGACATGTGGAGGTTTGAGGTTTAAACAACGGATCAACATCGTTTCACACAGGTAGTAACCCATAAGTGCTCCATTCGTCTTCTAACTCAAGTCTGAGTCCGAAGAAGCTCAGCATAGTGCACAGACTCTGTAGCAACGGCTAAGATCCTGAAATACGTTTTTTTTTTGGGGGGTAGATTTTAACTCTAAATTGTGCCTGGGCAGCGCCGTTAGGCTACTCTTTTCGATTTCCAATTGCCATCGGATTTTTTACGTGCGCAACACACATGGGCGTCCGATCTCACTACCCAGAGACCAGGGGGAATTACTAGAAGTCCAATTGCACATGAAAAAATCCCAGCCATTACTGGGGATTGAACCCGGAATCTCTAGCACTTGAAGCGGACACCATGCCTCAAAACCACGCAGCACCTGACATGTGGAGAAAGCTGCAAGGAGTCTGAAATGCTAGCCTACATCTATTCACCTAGAAAAATGTCTGCAATTTTCACCTGGAATGTTAGAACTGTTTATGAAATAATATAGGGATATGAATATGGTTGTAGGAGGTGGCTACAGATAGAAAGGCTTGACATGAATTGATTTTTAGGCTTATGTTTCAGCTGAGGATATGGAGCATGAGAGAAGACCTTTGAGGCTTACGTTTCAGCTGAGGATATGGAGCATGAGAGAAGACCTTTGAGGCTTATTTTTCAGCTGAGGATATGGAGCATGAGAGAAGACCTTTGAGACTTATGTTTCGGCTGAAGATATGGAGCATGAGAGAAGACCTTTGAGGCTTATGTTTCGGCTGAGGATATAGAGCATGAGAGAAGACCTTTGAGGCTTATGCTTCGGCTGAGGATATGGAGCATAAGAGAAGACCTTTGAGGCTTATGTTTCAGCTGAGGATATGGAGCATGAGAGAAGACCTTTAAGGCTTATGCTTCGGCTGAGGATATGGAGCATGAGAGAAGACCTTTGAGGCTTATGTTTCGGCTGAAGATTTGGGGCAGGAGAGAAGACCATAGCTGTTAGACTTATGTTCCGAGAATAACGTGCAGAAGATAAGATGATTATTTTCACTGTTTATAAATAATAACAGCAAACAGTTTTACACATCAGAAATGTACAGAAATGAATTAATTTTTTTTTCATCCAGTGGACGAACCTGATGAGAAGGAGGGTTATGTTATTGAAACACTTTTTATACCTTTACAAGTGAAGAGCCATTTCAGAGTGAGTATAATTTTTCTTGCAGTCTCAAAGTCAGTTATTGATGTAGTATATAATTATGTTTTCAGGACATTGTGACTCACATTTATTTTAAAAAACCTATTCTAAAATTGATTTATCGGTCAGAAGCAGGCCAACCATCTGCAATTTGGTAGCTATGTTAAGGTCTGATCTGCATATATGTAAATTACTTTTTGCTTACCTCTATGTGTGGGTTCTGGGGAGCCATGGGCAAACTAGAATAGACCCACTTCCCACCTAGCAAACATGTTTTTAGGGTTTTCTTCACAGTCAGAGAGTGCATTTTTCTGAGAGACAAGGAACCAACAGTCTGCCTAAAAATAAGCCAGATCTGTAAAACTGATATGCCCACAAAAACTCAAGTTCTGTAACAAGACATAAAGTCCAGAAGTGGACGAACAACCAGAACTTTCTGCCAAAATATACAGCCGGTGAACACGAAGAAGAAGAAGAGGAAGAATTTTCACAAGAACAAGTATCAGATTTACTCGTAATTGAATATTTATTGTGTTTGTTTGCTATCTGTTTTCTAGATGGCTATCCCAGCCCTCTTTTTTCAATGGGAATGTGCCATGAATGAGATCGAGGAACTAAATTCACAAGTGACAACATTATGCAGTCTTTGGTCAGCACAAAATCCTCATGGATGTATCCTGTTCATCTGTGATGGAAGGAACATAGCTAAAGGTTTCCGATGAGATTTGCATGTTGTTCAGAAAATGTGTTATTTACTTCTTTTAGTTCCACATTGTTCTTTAATCTTTCTTTTTTTTTTTATACCCGTTGGCCTTGCTTGTACCTTGAATATGCTTGACATAAGCTTTTTTTTTTTAAAGACTGTTCTAGTTTAAACTTGCTCATTTTCCTTGATCTGTTTTTTTTTTTTGGGTGTGAATTGAACTATGTGGATATTTCCCTTGCTTTCCACATTTACATTGGTTTAGACCAGTGGTTCTCAACCTTCCTAATGCTGCAACCCTTAAATACAGTTCCTCATGTTGTGGTAACCCCCAACCATAAAATTATTTTCATTGCTTCTTTATAACTTCAGTTAAGTGGCATGGTGAGTTTGGTTAAAGGAAATTAAGTCTGGTGTGATGTCTATAAGGAGATACTCTGTACCTCATCTAGGGCATCAGCCTTCTCTGTGCTGGTTTTACGGAACCTAGCAAGACTCCTGCAGCACATCCCTGCCGTGTGCTACGGATCATATCTTGAATGAGCGTTAACAGAACTGGCAGGGGATCTCTGAGCTGGTGGCTCCCAGAGATGTAGTGTCCAGCCTGACCCCCACATCAGCCCATCCCCAAAATCACGAGTGAAAATATCTATCAAAACTCATTTGGATCATGAGTAAAGTCTGCTGAATGTACCACTAAATGACAACTCTCGGTTAAATGTCTGTCGAGTAATATAAAAACTGAACTGCTGAGACTCAGCCCCTGACCAAGAGATAAGCCCACAACTTAGATGAGTAACATCTCCTTTGGGCCATTTCTCACCGTAAAATTCTGTCTTCATACACCTGTCAATCCTCGACGTCAGCTCGTCGAGGTATACCACGACAGCCACTGGGTAGGCTCAAATGTCAGACAAAGGTACCCACTATGTCACACCAGCAAAATCTTAATGCCTGGTCGTCACTGATTGGCAGAAAGGTTCAAATACCCGTATCCATCAGCCCACTTGCCCGAGTGTTGGGAGAAGCAGGTGAAGCCATGCCTAATGCATGCCTCTCAGTACTGCAGTGCTGAGCGCACAATTGAACCAATCTTAAAGGTGTCTGACATGATGAAGAAGACTGTTCCTATTTGTGTGGTCATCAGAGTCCTGGACCTGTGGCCTTTTCCTGCTGATCTCCAGAGAGCGCAGCCCATGACAAGTCGACAGCTCAACAAAAGGTTGTGAGGTTAAGCAGTCATGTGCAGGATGTGATGATTCCTTGGGTGAGCCCAGAACAAGAGAGTCATGTGTCGGCAATGCATTTATGGAAGCCTCCTTGAATGCCCATTATTTTCTCCTGCCTTCCCTTGAGGACTGTCGAGTCTACACACAGTTGCCCTATAAAGGGATTTTCCAGGGGCACACATCTTTATATAAAGAGGATACAACACAGATGAGGGAACATCATGTCCCATGAAACAGTGGCCACAGTTGTCCCAGAGATAGGATCAACGTCTTCCTTCAAAGTCAAGTACATCTGCCCGAGAGGCATGGAACACAGTAAAACGGATGTACGCGCAAAACTCAGTTTCTAGTACAAAGCCAGAAGTCCAAATGGATGAACAACCAGGACTTTCTACCAGAATTCACAGCCAGTGAACAAGAGAAAGAAGAAGATAACTTCAGTGAATATTTGTTGTCCAATGGCCTTAGGTGAACTCTGTGAAAGGGCCGTTCAACTTAAAAGGGTTGTGACCAATAGGTTGAGAGCCACTGGTTTAGGCTATATCCTCCTCCTTTTGCAACCTTTGAGTTATCAGGGTTAGTGAGTATCCTACTCTTTGAAACTCACTAATAGCAAGATACACCCCCGAAGTGTCCACTTATTCAAGTGCCAAAAACCAGAAGCATTATTTTAAATTGTATAATTCAATTGCATATCTTTCTTCTACAGTATTTGCGGTACAGGATTTAACTAAAAAAAGTTATTTTTATAAAAAAATGCTTTTTTTCTACTATTTACATTAAACATGATATTTCTTCCTGTGTTAGGAATTATACCAGTGGCTGAAGAAACAAACAATGTTGTGAGAATATTGAAGCAACTTTCAGTAAAAGTAAGTAAGATCAGCTGTGTTTGTATGTTAATCATAATGTTAAATGCATATCTGTTGAATTTTGCCATCCTAAAAGAAGCTTTCCTGCTACATACACTTTCCTGCCTAAAGTGTCTCTTATGTCCTGTGTGTACTTTTGTGCTGTTCGGTCCCTGCCTCTCTTGCCTTATGCTATATCTTTGAAGTTCATACATCCAAGGAACAACTACAAACATACAAGAATAGGATACATACTTACACGAACTAAATGTAATTTCTGAAAATGGGCAAGAGTGAAGTGACATGATCTGATAATTTCAGCATCAGTCTGTGGACTGACTAACCTGATGATGATGATGTTGACAAATAACGTCAGTCGAGCATTCAAAGTATTGTAAATCAGTATGCATTTTGTCTGAAAGGATATATTATTTAAGATAATAATTGCCTAAATTCTGTGTGGTGAAGCAGAATTCAGTTGTTCATTTCTTCTTCTGTATAGCCTCAAATGGGTACCAGGATGGGCTGTCCTGGGAAAGTAAAGACGGCCGGCGTAATGCTGACCACATTACCCACCGAGTGCCGAATTGGTCTGTAAAAATATGGGTGCTCTTCCCATATGCCCGATGCGCCTTATGGCGTGTAAAGGGATCTTTACTTTTTTTATTTTTTTATTTGCCCTTTAAAGGGTGGTTGCTTTGTGGTTTACAGGTAGACTGGAACATCTGCACCTTTCAGCCTGACACATCCAATTTCAGCAAAACCCTAGTTAGTTGCTTTTTATGCTGTATTTAGAGGGGGAAGCAGGGCACCATCCCCCCCCCCCCCCCCCCCCCCCCCCCCCCCCCCCCCCCCCCCCCCCCCCCCCCCCCCCCCGTCCCCTTTTCCCTTCCCTGTGCAGGATTCAAACCTTTCACTTCCAGACAGTGATTCTGCTTCATTGCTAGAGCAATACTGTTGCATGACATAGGAGTTAAGCACGGTGAAGCACGTCTGTGCCACTTTCTAGATCATGGAAACAATCAGTATTAAAATGAAAGTAAACTAAAGGACCCTTTTCCACGCCATCAGGGGTATTGGGCATATAGGGCTAGACCTATATTTTTATAGACCAATCGGCACAAGATGGGTGATGTGGTCAGCATCACGCCGGCCGCCTTTACTTTCCCGGGACTGCACCCGGTACCCACTCAACGCTGGGTCGACCTGGGAGCCAAGGTCAATTTTTTTAAAGTCTGGCTCCGCCAGGAAGCGAACCCACGACCTTCCGATCCACGACCTTCCAATCCTTCCGATGCCCAGTGTGCAGTGATGTGGATTGTGATAACATAAAATCATTGCTAGAGCACATATATTGCAGTGTACAATCAGCTAGCTATGCTAGAAGATTTCATCACTTCTCATGTGTCTAGCTAACTGCGTTGTGCACAATGTCTTTATTCAATGATAGAATGTCCTTATATTGAGGTGGTAGATTTGAACCCTGCTGTATAACTAGCTTTTATTTTATTTTCCCTGATATCTGTTGTCCTTTCATTATAATAAAAATTGCCTTGTAAAACCAGACACCCTGAAAATTACAGGTTTAGTTCTCCAACGGCCCATGAAGGATTCACAACTAACTTTTTAAAATCTACATCAGAGCCATACTGATGGAAAAAGATTTTAACAACAGTTGAAGATTGAACCCAGACCAACAGTTTTGAGAAGTCAGTACACTTACCAATGCCATCTTAATGCATGGGCACTTTCCCATTGGGCACCAGGAGCATAAGGGCCTCATGCTAATCTGTGTATGTCAAGTGACTGGCCATAAATGAAACTTGCATTCTGTGAGTGGTTATAGTTGGGGCTCCAGCACACTAGTTTGTCCAGTGGCCTAAAATGCTTTTAAGACAGTGCCAACACTAACCACTTTACGTTCACAGCTCCCATCATTTAATAAGCTTTGTTTCAAGTGCAGTAACTTATTTATCTTGTTTCTCTTCTGAAGATCAATCACACAGTTTATGCCTTACAGCTACATGCTGCCTCAAGTACTAGACATTTCTGTATACCTCCACAACCAGGGATCCTTGCATTTCTGCAGTTACGCCACCTTTTAAATTTACACTCAAAGGTACCAGTAATACAGTTGTGTATGTGAAATTTTGAAAGTTTATATGATCTCAGGACATGGTTACTATTATTTCTTTTTCTAAAGTGTTAACATAGTTGACTTTGGGCATTGAGTTGCCAAAGATGAACAATTCAAAAGCTGTGGAACTAACAAGCAGTTCATAAAAGGCAACTAATTTGGGTTTTGCTGAAACGGCTGTGTTGGGCCAAAAGGCACAAATATTACAGCCTAGCTGGTAACCACAACACTACATGCCAACTGTTCTTTTAAGGACGAACACAGAAGCAAACAGTTTAGAAGCTTTAGTAACAAATTCCTGCCTCTGCCAAAGGTTGAACACAGACCATGATTTAAGAAGTGGTTAAAAAGCAGAACTGATAGAAATGCTCATTAAATTTTTGCCAGGAGAACATTGTTTAAAATTAAGATTTCATGCAAAACAAAACAAAAAATAGTTGCTAATCATCAAAAGTTACTGAGTTTTAAAAAAAGAGTGTGTGTGAGAATAAAAGGGAGAGAGAGAGAGTTATTGTGTCAGGTCCATCTAGTATTCTGTTAGTCTCTTACCTTTTGTAGCTTTTATTCACATAAAACAGAACTGCCCACGTACCTGCAGTTTCCTCAGCACACTTCAAAACCTGCTGGTTAGGTGTATGGCAGCAGATTCAGTCTCTGTCAGTGCTGGAGTCTGATAGGTGGCATGCTATGGAAACAAAATTAAGGCTTATTTATTTGGTTGATTTGGTCTCATTTCCTGAGTTTTTACTCACTAGTGTGTGTACCCCTTCTGGAGTGTGCTCTCCTGCTGCTGCTACTAATGACATACCTTGGGTTGACAGACAGCTTGATTGATAAGTTAACACCTTTTTTTATGTAGCTTTTAAAAGATACCTTCATTTTTTGCTATGTTCACAATTTATTACCCGACAATGTATTTCAGAGCACCTGCTATGTATTTGATGATATTACCCATATGAAAATGGCAGAGGCAGCAGGAATGAGGCATGCAAAGGTGGGTGAGCCACACAAAAACTTTTACTTCTTTTTGTTTTGATCAACAACTTTATTCTGCAGTATAGCAGTAATTAAAAAAAAAAAAAAAGTGATATTCAAAAAAAGGCAAAATGGACCAAGAAATGCTATGATGAAGTCTGATGTGCCATTCAAAAGGATGTGATGCTTCACTTCAATCAGACACAGTACGGTGTTTAAAGAAGAAAAATTGGAACTGTAAAATATCAGGCCAAAGTATTATGAGGGGACATAACTGACTCCATTTCTAACACTTTGACATCCCAGAGAAAACTAAGTTTATGGGTACTGAAATCACAACCCAAAGTTATCTACAGTGTTTCATGATCAGAAAAGAAAGCCTGTGATTGAATGAAGACCACTATAATGTCAAGCCAGTGCCTTAACCACTATCATCATCATCATTGTCCTTTTGTACCATTATATGTCACATAGGGCTTGCAATGAAATCCTCCATTTCGTGTGTGCAATCTTTTCTATCTGTATAGATGGAATCCAGTCCAGCACTTTAGGTCTCTTTCATCAACGTTCTTTTTAGGGTTATTTTGGGCATCCTCGCTTTCTCCATTTTTTTATTTCCTATTTGAGTGCCTGTCTGGTGATTCTCGGCTAGTTTCTTTTGAGTGTGTCAAGTATAGTGCCAACTTCTTTGTCTAATAACTGTTGTTTTACCAGTGGTTGCCCTGATATTTCTCTTAGTTTCTAACTTTCCTTGGGGCTTTCCTCGCCTAACTACAATGCCATCATAGATATTTCTGTATGTTAAGTAACTTCATGTGGTGTAATGTATTTCTGCACTTTAGCAGTGTTGTCAGTAGCAAGAGCTTCATACAGTGGAGTCTCCACAACTAGTTCCTCATTTTGATTCTATTGGTTTCCTAGGTCGCCTTCCCAGGATTGATTCACCACCCTGTGATGGATCTACTTCCTGGATCTATCCACACTTCCACATTAACAGCACTGTCTGCTTTGGGAAACTCTGGTGTAGGCAAATACTTTTCACCTGTTGTTTTCGCTCTTTGTTTTATCTTTTTTATGCCGTCACTGGTTATGGACATGGACATTAGCAGAGTGTCCTGAAGTCCTGATTGCTAGTCTCTGTCTGCACGTTGGTGCTTATCCAGGACTTGAGAGTTGCATGCATTCATTGTACAGATGTGACTTATTGTGAACAGACTTTTGGTTCTTTGTTTTTAAGGCCGATGAAATCTGACTTCAAGGCCGACATTGATCCTTACTGTATTGGACAGTATCCCAGTAGGACACCTATATCTAAGATGACCACGTAAAGGTGTAGACATGAATGAGCCCTCGTTGTAGTACACCACCACAATTATGAAACATCTTCTGTTTTGTCTGATTGTTACTGACTTGATCTTTTTATTGTGATGTCTAAAACCTTTTTTTTTTTTGTTTGTCTGATTACATTTTAGATAACAGCCGTGTTGAAGTCACCTGGTATGGTAAGAATTTTTTGCTTTTCAGTAATTTATAATTGAAACTCTTGTTTATTTCCTTCTTGCATCAGTTAACAGATTTATACTTTTTTTCTTCTTCTTCTGCTTCTTCTTTTTCTTCTTTTTTACTTCCTTTGGAATGCCTCACGGCATCAGGCCAGAAAAAAATCTCTGGAACAGACCTTTTTACTTAAATATTGTTAATTCTCTAAAATATGTTGTTTTTCATATTTGTTTTTCTTTTTCACTATTTGTGTTCAACATTTTGTCTGTCATGATCAAAATATTATATTTTTCACATGTTTTTCCCTTTTCAATATTTGTGTTCAACAGTCTATCATGATCCTTTTAGAGGGTTATGTAATCTGATGATCGCAGCACAGCACAAATATCTTGTCCTTCTATCTTTCTACTTCTTTCTGTGAGTGCCGATCAATACATTGACTCTTTGTTTATTATATGTATATAATATTACAAATACTTAAACTGTCCATCACCATTGTTGACCCTAATTAGGGTGTGAAATATTAAGCCTTTATATAAAATCTAGGCCATAATATATGGGGGGGGGGGGGGGGGGTGTCAGTTCCCCCCCCCCCCCCCACCCCAGACTCAGAATATTATACAAATATGCTGGTATTAATTTTTTATGAAGCTATTCACTAACAACTATGCCACTGTAGTGAACCATTTTATCCCTGATAAATTATTTTACAGTAGGAATGAGGTCAGGTAATGAATATGAATCAGATGTTTGAATTTAACAAGAATGAGTCGGGATGCGCAGGGAAAATGTTGGCCAAATGAAAAGATTGCTAAACCCGTGCAAAATGGAAGACATGAGAACCAGGAACTGGCCAAAGTGGGCGACATAAGGTTATTTAATGCCCTAGAAAGATCTAGCCGGCAGTCTCGTCTGGGTCAAGGAACTGTACGCATGTGTAGTGGAGAAAGTATTTGTATCATTATAAACGAAAGAGTGCATCCAATGTGTTTGTGAGTTTTCAATGCCCAACCTGGCCTTCAGCTAGAACTGGCTGGCACAGTCAGCGCTGACCATGTTTGTGTTTGCTTGTCAAGGAAAGTTTTCATTTTTCGCTACCTTTGTGTAAATGGGCATCTGTGTATTCGCCTGAAGGTAACATTAACTTTATTTGATGTATTATACACCTAGACTATGTTTATGCCTCACCATGTATTGGCCAATAAATCAGTGAGGGAATGAACACTAAACATTGACATCACATCGTGTCGTTCATTTCATCCATCTTTCACCTGTTGAGTTGACTGACAGTACACAAATGTGAAGTCTGCAAGCGACTGGAGCAAAACTGAATGTAAACAGAGTCATTGCAGCCACCATGATTTATTCTGCTGCTTCCATTGATGATGAACTGCATTTCTAGGATGGCTGATTGTGCAGTTAATGCATGTCTGTATCAATAATTCCACAAGTGACAGTGGTGGACATTCTATATGAAGTTTTTGCTGGCACAGGAACAGAGCAACCAAGGGATGACCCATTTGCAGTGAAGTTGGAACTGTGATTAACTTGGTTTCTACTAAGTGTGGATCTATTTTCTTTCAGGTGCTGAAGGGCTGTGGTTCAAATCCATCTGTGCCTGCCATGTTAAAGAGCATGGTAGTGGAGAAACCCGGGTCAGGATGCAAGAACTTATCACAGACTCCAACTGTACCAACCTTTGATTGTCACCTTGATATCAAAGATGGACATGCATCCCACAGATTTGAGAATGGACTAGAAGAACACGTGTTTGTGAAGGATATGCAAAGCTTCCACCGGTATGTTCACTCATAATTTGGTGTACTTCTTTATTATTAAAGAAATAAATCAATGATTGTTTTGTGTATCATTAACATCAGATGCCTTAATGAATGACTTCGGCAATCATGCCTCTTCGTTTCTTGTAAACTTCAATAGGTTTGCAGTGTATTTATTATTAAAGGTCTAAAACTTAACTACGACTAATGCCTCTAACAAGTTTTGGTTTTTATTCATTCTTATAGGGCTGCCTTATTTGTTCTACTGTCCTTCCATGATATGCTTTTCTTCAAAAGGTCAATTCATGCACCACTTTGGCAGCATATATGGTGGTGACTAAGATTTTACTGAGAATAATTATGAGAAGAATAAGAAACAAAATTAACCAGAAATAGGCGATGAACAATGTGGATTTGTAGAAGGACAACGTGCAAACAATGCCATATACATCCTAAGGACATTGTCAGAAAGAGCTATAAAAGTAAAGACTGATTTGTACTTGTGCTTCATAGACTATACAAAAGCATTTGACTGTGTGAAGCATGAAGAAGTAATCAAATTGTTAGAAAAATTAAACATTGATGGGAAAGATCTACGAATAATAAAGAATATGTATTGGCAGCAAACAGCAGCTATAAGAATTAACAACTGTTTAGGTACATTTCAAAGCTTAAAGGGGGGCGTACGACAAGGATGTGTACTGTCACCTGATTTGTTTTCAATATACAGTGAATATATAATGAGATCTTTAATTGATATGCCCAGAATTGTGGTTAGTGGGCACAATATAAACAATTTACGTGATGCTGATGACACAGTCTTAATTGCAAAAAGTCAGAAAGAACTACAGGAAATGATAGACATTGTGGTGTTAGAAAGTGGAAGAATGGGCCTCAGTTTGAAAACTGAAGTAATGTTGGTATCAAAGAAAAAATTATTCCTAAATGTGTAATAAAAGTTGATGGTGTTATTTTCGGACAAGTACAAAAATTTAAGTATCTGGGCACATGGATAACATCAGATGGAAGATGCATATCTGTGATAAGAAACAGAATAGGACAGGCAAAAACTGCATTTTATAAAATGAAAAACATCTTGTGCAATATATCCTTGTCATTGAGAGTTAGAAAAATAATTCTTGCTTGCTACATACATCCAGTTTTAACACATGGATGTAAATCCTGGACAATCGGTTGGCAGGCCAAACAATTTCTTGAGGCCTCAGAGATGTGGTTTTACAGAAGAATGCTTAGAATTCCTTGGACAGCTAAAAAGAGCAACCAAGAGGTTTTGTATGAGGCGGGAGCCCCAAGACAACTTATCACAGACATCAGAACAAGACAGTCATAATTTTTCGGCCATGTTATGAGAAGAGGGAAAATAGAACATGTTGTGACTACTGGAAAGATCTGTGGAAGAAGGGATAGAGGAAGACAACGAGAGAAGATGCTTGACAGTCTTGTTGCATGGCATGGAGATGTGTCGGCACACGAACTGATACATGCTGCAGGAGATCGCAGATTATGGAGAGGCATGATCGCCCACGCCAGTCGGCAAGGCACGTGATAATGATGATAGTGATCTAGGCAAAGATGGAGGAACACAAAAAATAAGAATACAATAGACAAGAGGAACCATAATAAAGTATTCTCTCTTCATTTTTTGCCTTGTTCCGATGTAGAGCATATTTTAAACTAGATCACCTTTCCCAATCCAGTGCACACTGCATGTCTTGTACAGTATGTCCATACAAAATTCTCACCAGAAGGAAGCCCCACACAGTTGTTTCTAATGTGGAGTGAAGCAGAAAGAAAAAACATTGTTGTCTTTAATGTCTTTTTTTTTTTAAACGTAACTCATCATTTTAAAGTAAGCACAAACAGCACTATATAGATGTTCATTTCTGGGCAGATACTTCATGATTTCACTTTATCTTCCATTTAGAAAATTTACATTTTAATATTTTTTTGTATTTTGTGGGTAACATTTTTTAACTTTGAAAATTATCAGGTTATAAGCCAATAATACTTTCACTTTTTTCATTTGCAATGCCAAGAGATCTTTAAGTCGGCAGTTTATGTGTGCCCAGTTGCTTCTGTAGTGGAAATATTTTTCAGTTTCCAGACTGTTAGAATCACTATATATTTTCTGGTTAAGGGCAGATATATCAATTTTACCGACTGAGATAGCAGTTGTTTTGGAAGATATTTGTCTTACCCACTTAAAGGGTTAAAGTACATAAAATTTTTTTTTTTTTTGTTCCACATTTTAATGAAATACTACTCTACAAATCCACTACCTCATGATCACTGAGGCGTAATAACTTCCTCAGGGTCGTTATATGCAAGTATACAGTTTGGAATTCTTCTTGTTCTTCTTCTTCAGTGTTCTGAGCCCTTGGGGCTCATTGCTTCAATGTATATTATCTGTCCACAATTTTCTTGGTTGACCTCATGAGAGTCTGCTATCTGCGGCTCTCTCTGTATGCCCTAATCATTATAATCTGTTTGCTCTATTAGCCCTCTTGATGTGAATAATTGGTTGTTGTGTTCTCTGTATGGTTTCTGGGACTGAGGGGAGGGAGGGGGTGGGGGAGAATAGACCACCCCCCCACCCCCCCCCCCCCCCCCCCCCCCCATTACCAGGCACATTGTAAAAGTTGATTAATTAAGGGCGTTTCCTTACATGTCGGAGTCCATCTGCCTGAGAGGCAAGGAACCAACAATCTGCTTAAAAATAAACCAGGTCTATCAAATGGATATAAATGCAGAAATCAAGTTCTGGAACAAGACTTATGTTCAGAAGTGGATGAACAACCAAAACTTTCCACTGGGGTTTACAGCAGATGAACAAGAAAAATAAGAAAATTTTTCTTGTAAGCAGGTTATGAATTTTATTGTTCAAGTTTGAAATGAAAATACAGATATCATTGTTCTGGTAATGAATATACTTTTTTGTGTGTGTGTCTTTGAAATAATTAAGCTATCAAGAAAAATATGCACAGCATATAACACCAATAGAGCATTCAGAAAACAAGTTCATTAGCATGGAACCCTTGCAACAGTGTGAAAGCACAAAGACAGAGAAAGTACCTGCTCATGTTACTAGATCCTCAAGTGAGGACAGCACAGATGTTGACATTCCACACTGGATGAGGAGAAAGAAGCCAAGATTGCCATCCGATTCTGAGAGCGTTACCGTGTGTCCACAGAAAACTGTAAGCAAAAACTTGGCCAAAAGTAGCAGGTGAGACTTTGTTTGATTATGTCGCTCTGCAAGGAAATGTTGAATTCTTCTTCCTTAAAATGGTGGTTGACACATTGTGTTATGGTTAAAGCTAGACTGTGATATCTGAAACTTTCAGCCCAGCTCATCTAATTTCAGCAAATCCCTAATTACTTCTTTTAGAATATGCTTGTTAATGAGCAATAGGGCTGTTGTCCCCTGCACCTCCCAAGTACCTCCAACCAAACTCCCAAAATGGCAGCAGAATGTTGGGAATGTTGAATTTTCTATCATTTGTGTTCTGCAAATGCCAGTCTTCTGCCATTCATTCATGCCAGTGGAGCATAAGCCTACGACAAACGTGCTCAAGCCCTTTGCATACATAGTTATGTTTGACTGGATTGTGTAACTGAGGTTTTCTACGGGATGATAAAGTTATTCACATTCCTCAGAGTCGCTTATTTTGACGTGCATTGTAGATCATAGCATTCCATTAAAACATATTCATGAATGACAGAATGAATGTCGCGGCTAACAAACAAATCCTCATAAGCATACAACAACACACACATACATATCATCTGGTCATGTTGTGCCACTATGTATCACACAGGGCTTGCAGTCTGTTCCTTTGTTCTGTACTAGTCTATGCACACACTTCCTTATTATGGATGGAATCCAGTCCAGCGCCATTGGCCTGTCTCATCATGTCTTTAGGACTCACTTCATCAGTTCCTTCATTACAATTTTAGTACTTTTTGGTGTTTCTCTGCTGGTTTCTCTTAGGAGGCATTCAATATAGCACCATCATTTCTGTCTTAAAACTGTTGTAACCAGAGGTTGCCCAGACATTTCTCTGATTTCTTCTCCCCTCTTGAATTCATCCCATTTTATGTTCAAACATTTTCCTTGTGTTTTTTCCTTTCTGAAATGCATTTAAACTTTCATTCCATGTCTTTAGTACATACATATATTTGAACAAAGAAGACACAAACAATTGATTGCACAATTTATTGACTGGCATAGTATGCTGTATCTCGTCAGGTGCATACTCCAGTAACAATTACATAAATGAAGCACATAAGTGAATCCTTTATAACTGAAGAACAAATTCAACAACAGTCAAGCGCAACTGCATGTTTTACCAGGGCAGCTGCAGTGTCAGAATCATATCTTCGTGTTTACTGAGTTCAGGGTGGAGGTATTGAATCACGGCGGCTTCAAGAAATTTTTGTGTTCTGCCATTGTCTGACGTGAAGGAAATGTTTGCTCTGGATACGGTGTGTCCAGATTTTAAAAGGTGGTATGCTATTGCGGAAAGATGATCTTTACGACCGGTATTCTCATTTTGATTTTTACTCTGCATTACTTTTTTCCACACATACTGGAATATGCGCAGCGACTTGTTTCTCCAGGCGTCAGTCAGTTTTGCCAACAAAAGTAGCTTCACAGCAGCATTTAAATTAAAAGATTCAGTTTGGTCTGGCATACATCGACACTTCTTTCACCTAGGGTTGACGTACGCCAGATCAAATTGTATCTGCACCTGATGAGATACAGCGAAATATGCCAGGCAATAAATTGTTCAATCTGTTGTTTGTGTCTTCTTTATTCAAATTTACAGCGGGGAAACATTGCTTTGATATATATATATATATATATATTGTCGAATAATCCATACATGCTTGAAAACACATGCTTGCTGATAGGTGTGGACATAATTCCCAAGCCACTCCAGTGCCTTCAGTACTTAATTGTGTACTCATTGAGTTAAGTCAAGGACCCTGTTTATACCAGTGGTTCTTCCAGCATATGAGGCTAGATTAATATCTTTATAGGCCAGTTGGCACTCAGTGGAGGAGGATGTGGTCATCAATATCTTGCCGGCTGCTGACATTACCTGGTATCTGTTTTAGGCGGGTCAACTTGAAAGCCAAGGTCAATTTTTTTTTAAAAATGCGACTTGAAGCAAATTTGAACTCATGACCTTCAGGCAAGCATCTAGCTACTACGCTGCTGTGGCTGCCAAGGGTATATGGTACCAGCCATATAATTTAAAGGGCAATAATGCTGGTAGGTATAGTTTATATAAGTCTGCCCACAAAAGTGCCCACACTTTTGTCTCATATGTCCTGGTATTTAGTTTTAGGCTGGGTCGACCTGGGAGCTTATGTCAGTTGAGTTTAAAAACATCTCTGTGAGGATTCAGACACATGAACATGAACACAGTAGGCTTGCCTGCTAGCCGGTACACTACAATGGCTCCTATATACAGATATTGCTACATACATCCAGTTTTAACATATGGCTGTGAATCCTGGACAATCGGTAGGCAGGCCAAACAATTTCTTGAGGCCTCAGAGATGTGGTTTTATGAAGAATGCTTAGAATACCTTGGACAGCCACAAAGAGCAACCAAGAGGTTTTGAAAGAGGTGGGAGCCCCAAGACAACTTATCACAGACATCAGAAGGAGACAGTCATCATTTTTTGGCCATGTTATGAGAAGAGGGAAAATAGAACATGTTGTGACCACTGGAAAGATCTGTGGAAGGAGGGATAGAGGAAGACGAGAGAAGATTCTTGACAATCTTGTTGCATGCCATGGAGGTGTGTCGGCACACGAACTCATACATGCTGCAGGAGATCGTGGATTATGGAGAGGCATGATCGCCCAAGGCAAGGCACCTGATGATGATGATGATGATAATACAGATACTATCTTGATGCAGCAGCCACTGCAAGGTACCTCTACTGATGGCTCCCCTGAGAAGTTTGTTTCCACCTCCTATCTTGACATTGAAGAAGGCAATGATGTGCTTTGCCAGGCTTTACTCAGAGATCATGCAGTGGTGTTAGCATCAGGGATTTGTTACTATCCAGTCTGCCAAGTTCAGTTTATCTGAGGTCAAAATGCTATTCACCGGCCTAGTCTGTGTAGGGTTGATAAATGTATGTACATTAAATGTCAGTTTGTTTCATCACCACAGGTCCTACCAGACAGTCTATATCATGTCAGAGAAGGAAGTTTTAGAGATGGCTCAACAAGTTTTACAAGAGGTATCATATGCCCATCAGTTGTTTGTCTTCTCATATTTACATTTCTTAGCCTATGCTCATTGTTGGCATCTTTTCAAGAAGTTAAATGTAGAATAGCTCAAGCAAAGGCAGCATTTTACAGAATAAAGAATATTTTAATGCAGTCTTTCTTTGTCAGTTGAGACGAGAAAGAGAATTCTTTAAAACTATATAAATCCTATCTTGATATATGGAAGTGTATCAAGGACAGTTGGCAAATTAGTGAAAACTTGTTTGGAAGCTGCGGAGATGCGGTTTTATAGAGGATTGATGAGAATACTCTAGACAGAAAAATAGAGTAATGAAGACATCTTGAAAGAAACTGACTCACGGAGAGAACACATTGCCCACATCAGAAAGAGACAATCTACATTCTTTGGTCATGTGATGAAAGGAGAAAATTGGAGTACATCTGACAGTTGGAGAAAAGGAGGGGCAGAGGGAGACCGAGAAAAAATATGCTGAACAGTTTGACATCATGGCATGGAGGATCATCTGTGTCAGAGTTGACTAAAAGTATACGAGACAGAAGTTTGTGGATAGAACATGACTGCCAACGCCACACGGCATAGAGAAGAAGATGGCACAAAAGCTGAGCAGTATTGTAGAGATAGTGTGTCACCTTTGAAGCCTGATCCCTCTATTAGCTTGCCTTATTTACTCTAGAGTAAAGGTAACACCAATACATTTGGAAAGAAGCATGCTGCAAAAGCTGCCAGATTAGTGATCCGTCCACCCGTTGAAGCTTCCCTGCTAGACAAGCTGCCAACCGAGGTTAAGTGCCTGCCTTAAGATTCAAGTTTTCAGGTTGCCTTGTCTCTAACTCTTTCTAAGATAAGGCCAGTATCCTGCTCATTGCATGCATCTTCTTCAAGTGGCTGTCATAGTGTGAGATGTGAGGTTAATGCCTGTAGCTATAATAGTTATTTAAACATGTAAAGTGATCCTGTGGCAAATTTTGCAGTTGTATGAAATATCAGACTCACTTACTCAAATCAATGACATAATGAGGTACATTGACCAGTTATCTTTCTCACCATTTTCCTTCACATACAGGAACACATATATATCCAGTGTCCATTGTATGAAGCCATACTTGTCAGAAAAGATCATCCTGTCATTGTTAGGAAGTGAGCCCAGACCAGTATCATTATAAGCAGATATGTTGACCGCTCTGCCGCTGCAGCAGTAACCGCTTGAAATTTCGGCCTTTATTCCAATAACTCTTTTGACCCCAGGCGGTTGTTATTGCCCATGCCAAAGTCTATAAGCTTTGTTGTCACAATTTTTTAGTCCTAAAAAGTTGAAATAATACAGAAAAGTTCAAGTAACAAATTTGATTCTCTAGGTTGAAATTAAACAGTATGAGAACAGTCGAAGTAAAGAAAGGTAGGGCACGTGTAGAATAATCAATAATCCTGTAGTGAGTAGTTTGGTATTGAAAGAGTTGAAGCATAGGTCCTACACAAGGGTGATTCAGTCAAGTTTACTCAGGGCCAAAATGTTCAAAAATGGGGAACAATACAGGCCAGAAGCTTAAGCCCTAGCATATAATACAACTAACTCAGTGGTTCTCAACCTATGGATCATGACCTTTTTTGTGGGTCAAACGAGCCTTTCACAGGGTTACCAAAGACCATTGAAAAATAAATATTCACTGAAGTTTTGAAGTAACAACAACAATAATTTTATGGTTGAGGGTCACCACAGCATGAGGAACTGTATTAAAGGGTCACAGCATTAGGAAGTTTAAGAACCACTGTACTAACTGACGTCAAGCCCTGGGTAGACTTGTTTATGATTGCTTGGATTTTCCTGCTAGATGTTTCTGCAGGATGAGGTAGCTAGTCTCATATGAACCTTTCTTAGATACTTGTTGTTCTCTAAATTACTGGAGAGTCTTGAGAAATGCCAGTCTAGTCTCAAGACTCTCAAAAATCCCAGCTCCATCTCCACTTGGTAGAAGACAGAAAACATACTGTGATGTGGCCAGTGCAGCAATAGGGACAAAGTATCCACTGGGATAAGTAAACACCTCTGGGCTGTCCCCTATCGGTAAAAGAAGTGTGACAGAGCAGGGCTGTCACTTGCTCTGGTAATAAAAGAAGTTTATCATGGAAACCAAAAAATAAGAAACTCATCAAAGATCTGATGGGGAGGACCTCAGACCAGGCAGTACAAGTGAAAGGGAAATAGAACATTATCCAAACAACACAGTGAACATCAAAACCTGGTCCTAAATTTAAAGAAATCAAAAATAATATCCGCAGACAAAACTGCCTATCACCCAAATTAACAATAAACAATAAGAAAATTGAAAATATCTCAAACTTTAAACATCTAGGCTCCATAATAAATAGCAGTGGAAGATGACTTTAGCAATGCAAATATGAAACGGCATTAAAATCTATGGCTAAACACCAGCAAGGAAATCAGAGCGATAATGTTGAAAGCATGCATCTTCCCTGTAGCAACATACGGATGTGAGTTGTAGACTATCGACCAGCCCTTAAGGAATAAAACTCGGACCTTTGAGCTAAAATGCTGTAGAAAAATTTTCAGAATGCCATGGACAAAGAAGAAAAGAAATACTGACATTCTAAAAGATCTGAACATCAAGGAAGATTGACTCCTTGGATATGAAAGTGCACAAAGCAGGAGAGCTGATGAGGGAGCAAGTTTGTTTCAGGCAAGACTGATGAAAGCGACATTCTGCAAACATTACATGCATAATGCTGCTACCACCAACAGCCCACCACTAGAATCGCAGTTTGTTGTCAATGGATGCAGCCGTCAGAACCAGCAGTTGCACACACATGGCTGCACAAGGCATACCGACAGTTCTATGGTAACTGATCACCCACCATTTAATGAATAAGCAGTTCACAACACTAACTACTTTGGCACAGATGGAAAGCATTCCACTTGAAATCCACAGCTCACAGTATCACATCCTGTACTCCGCTCAGTAGCTGGGCTACAGAACAATATACTTTAAGTCCACATATGGAGGAAACTGCATCAGCAAACCATGGTTTTCAACACTCCAAGGCTTTAACAGAGGGTCTACCTACCTGTCTGCCATTTTGAATTAACATTAAGGCTTGGACACACAGAACATATCTGACTGAGAGATGGAGAATGCTGGAGATGGTGCAGCTGACCTTAGAAGTGAATAATGACATATGATCTGATCTGGCTTAGTGGCTCACAGAGAAAATTATTGCTTAACATCTGTAAATTTTTTTTTTTTTTAAACAAATAAAGGTTTATGTACTTTTGATGATTACCATTTTAATCATTTAGAAATGACTTTCCTAGCAAAAATGTTGAACTATTGGCTCTGAGTGTTGCTTTGTTTCATTTTCAAAGGTAGGCACAGACATAATCACTGCAGAAGCTCAACAAACAGAACACAAGCCTTGCTGAAGACTTAAGTGATGGAGGATCAAGGACATTCAGGGGTTTTGACATTGACAGCTATGCTCTTTTGTCTTACCTGCGTAAGACAGGTTCATTGCTTGCTTGTGTGAGGCAGAGTTATTGCCTTACCTATGTGAGGCAGGGTCATTATCTTACCCGTGTGAGGCAGTGTCATTGTCTTACCTGTGTAAGACAGGTTCATTGCTTGTGTAAGGCAGGGTCATTGCCTCACCTGTGAGGAGCAGGGTCATTGCCAAACCTATGTGAGGCAGGGTCATTCATTGCTTGCCTTACCTGTGTGAGGCAGGCTCATTGTCTTACCTGTGTGAGGCAGGCTCATTGTCTTACCTGCGTGGGACAGCATATTGCCTTAATTGAGACAAAACTCCTCGAGCACCTATGTGAAACACTTTTTACATGTGCGAGATAAGCTGATTGTTTTATTTATTGGATTGTCTTGTGTCAGAAAAGAATCACAACTTGGGTATAGACTTCCATGGTATTGGAGATATTAAGGTCAACATCATACTTCTTAGACAACTTACCAACAAACAAAATGTTACTGACCGTTTCACCAAGTGTTTTTTTTTCTTTCTCCAAAGATGGGGCCTTGGAACCCGCAGAGAGAATAAGCGATTAACAGATTTATTCTAATAGTGTATACTGTGACTTGGGCGCTGTGAACACGTTTCACAATTTCAGGATGCAGTTTGATCCAACCTGCTGGCAATCTAGCAGCAGACTACCTGGCACTGGTTTTGACAGTGGTATCAAGAGTTGGCCACTCAGAAAGCAGTGGCAAACTACTAAATGTAAAATTGCCTAGTGAAATCAGAAACAGCCAAAAAATGCTGGGATTGGTTCTGCAACTTGCTATAAAGAACACACAGCTAACTTTAGGATACCCTAGTGAGTTTCACATCTAGGGATTTTAGACTAAAATACATAGTAAACTCGTGAGTTTACATTTTTGGAAGTAAGGAAAAAGCTTCTTTGCCTTATATTTCATTTGTATTAAATTGTGTGCCTTATCAGTCTTCTTGTTTGTATTGTGTGGTGTAACTGTGCAGTTGAACCTGGTTTTAGTTTTAACTTTAACTGTGATCCTCAGACAATCCTCTGACCATTCAAGTCTGGGAAACAACAAGTGAAATAGAAAAAAAGCCATACCCTGACTCACACCCAAACTCATTTTTTTCACACTTTAGCATGACTTACTAAAAACAGTAACACAATTGTACCCTCAAACACACACCAACACAGTTTTACCCTGAACCACCACACAGTGATAAAATGTGTACCCTGAAACACAGTAATACAGCTGTACATAGAAACACACATTTGTACACAGTAACAAAATTGTATAGAGAGACAATAATTGTATCTGGAAATAATAATAACACCATTGCACCCTGAAACACAAAACAACACAACCACACAACAGGCTCACCCAAAACTATTAAAAAGGTACAGAATTATCTGTGCATCAGCACACTAGAAATAAAACTCCCTGAAGCTTCCAAACAAATAAAACAAGAGAAGAGGTACAGATTCACCAATTTAATCAGTTTCATGTTCATATACCTTCCGTGAGCAGTGAACTCAAGCAAGTCAGTGGTTTACATACAATTCACTCCCACATGCAGTCTTTAGAAATGTATTCATAGTTCTTTCTCACATCGCTTTTGGTGACATTTCTGCTGGACTCTCTAGCATAGCTGGCTTAACCGGATTGCGCAGTGACCGGGTGACGAACTCCTTGTGGTCCGGGTTCACTCCCGGGGGTAGGCAGAAAAGCCACATTTCTCCCAGATTTACGGTATTTACAATTGAATCAAGGCCGAAAGGTTGTGATATCCATAATACCGAGCCTAAGGGTTAACAACTCATGGCTTCTGGATACTAAAACAAAACAACCGAACAGTGACATTTCTACACAAATTTGTAAGCAAAATTAATTGTAATGGCCCACTGAAAGATTACTAATAGGGGGTCCTCAGAACAAATTTAACTCTTCAACCTGAGAGAATATTAAAAACAAGTGACCTTTTTTCACAAATTTTATCAAAATAAAAATGCATGCTTTTAATTCTCAGGAACACAGCCCTAAGATACTAGAGGAAGAGAAGACAAAATAGAAGAAATTGAAAGTCTTGGTCAGTTTTTCCACAAATCCAAGGGGTTGAAACCTACCACAAACGATTAGTCAGGATTTTATCGCAGATTTCCAGACAGATCCATATGTGTTCTGACCTCCTTAAGTTAAAGGTTAAGAGGATTGACTCAGCATCATATTTGATTACTACATACTTGACTTAGTGTAACTGCCGAAATTGACACTGCCGCTGACTAGCTTTATTTTGGCCCCCTGAGACGCCTCCTATCCTTTTCAGCATAAAGTCGACCCCTGCAGCCTTACAACAAATGCATTCTTTTAAAACCAAGATTTCGACATTTAAGGGAGAGGGTTAAGAGGTCTCAGATATCATTTACAAAATCACTTTTAACTTTAGGGTGCAATTTTTGTGGTTCTGATGTTTATAAATAAAGTTCTCTAGTGTGAAAATTAAAATGTATGGGGTGTTCCATGGCAGACGTCTAAAAATTAATCAGAGGCCTTAAAGATCTAACATCTAACAGGGAACCATGTAATGGTGCGAATTCCCTGGGAGTTTTCGATGGGGAGGACAAGGTCAGAGGATCAGTGATACAAGAGGGATACAAGAAAAGCGTGAGACTGGAACAGAGGGTGTGAACCGAGAGACGGTAGTAAGACTGTTGAAGTTTGGACCTGGATGTGCGCAGTCGTATGTGAGAGAACACCTGATGAGAATGGAGAACTTGTAACCAATTAATTGTTCGAGAGAAGACATGAATGTTACCTGATTGCCAGTTTGAACATGTGCTAATACCAGGTACAAGGCTTCAATATGATATAGATGTGTGATTCGAGAGATATGAATGGAGCAAAGCAGTGTGCGAGAGAGTTGGCCGGGTCATCAGAAATTGGCCATGCATAGCGACCATGAGGACGAAAGAATGCGCTGTCAGTGAGATGTTTGATTCAGCAAATAAAGGTCTATAACTGAACATTCGTTTCTGGTGTGTCATAGCAACTAAGTGTACGTCAAAAACAGCAATGTGGCGTGTAGAAACAAACCCTTAGCAGAGCACATTGCAAACCACTTGCCAGGATACAAAATGTAGCTTCTGTAACAAGTATGTGAGAACTCGTTTAGTAAACATAGACCTCATGTGTGATAGCTATCTACATCTCTGTTTTTGTTTTGCTTTTAGGAATCAGGCGAGATACATGCTGTGATGTCTGATGTGTGCTCCTTCATGGTAGTAGTATTTGCAGTCTCACATTAATCACACACCCGCCTCTTCTTGTGGAGCTTTGATCTCTTGCTGTTTCTAATGTGTTTGAGTGCTGAAAGCTCTTTGTGGGTTAGTCTTGTGAACAACCCATCTCGGTTATGAGTTTTTCCAACTCTTTCAGTTCTGTCACTGCTCTGGTTGTTTTTATGAGATTTTCTGAAATTTTTGGGTGTTTGGGTTTTCCTTCAGAGCGAGGGGGTTATAGGTGAAAGCAGAAGAAGACATGTATGAAAAAAAAAAATACAAACACAAAACCTTTCCAAAGTTGTGATGATTCAGATTTGTGACTGCTGTCAGTTTTGAGAGGTAGTAGAACATAATATTTAAACCTAGAAAACCAAAATCAAGATATGGCCAATTTATTACAACATAAAAATAATCGTAAAACATACCCAAAAAAAAGTACAACATAAATATAAATCCAGAATGAAGATCAGGTCTGAACCAACAAATAAAAAGTTAGATATATCATACATTTGTGTAGAAAATATTAAATATAATGCCATATTTTAACAACTGGGAGACACGCAGTTGAGAAATACTCCTGTAAATTCTGCTATTTTTCCTGTACAGTATATTGCTGGATGTAAGGATGGTGGCAGTCAGAAAGAGTATTGTTGGACGAAGAAATCTGGAGATACAAGGATTAGAGCTGGAGGAAAAGCTCTCCTGATACAATAGAGTGAACTTGGTCATTTTCATGTACCCAATTGATTTGTGCATTAATACAAATATTAAACTCCTAAAAATACAATGTGTTTCAGTTAGGAACCGCAAAAAAAAAAAAAAATGTATAATTTCTTCACACACAAAACAGCTGAAGCAGAAAAGAAACAAAAGAAAATCTAAAACCAAGGATTCTGGTATAGTGTATTACTGTCAAACTCAAATAAACATTTTTTTTTTATTGACAGCTTTTATATAAAAAATTAATCATTAGTAACCCAAAACAATTACAAAACATGTGTTTGTGTTTGAAATTAAACACAAACTGGGACTGATCCAGTACCCATGTGTAAATCTGGTTATCTTCTCTTTATCGTCATCAAGTGCCTTGCTGACTAGCGTGGGCAATCTAATCATACCTCTCCAAAATCTGCAATCGTCAAATATATCAGCTCCTGTGTGACACCCCTTCATGCTATGATAAAAGGCTCTCAGGAATCATCTCACGCTGTATTTCCTTTATCTCTTTTTCCACAGACCATTTCATAGTTACAACATGTTCCTGATTCCTTCTCATAACATGGCCAAATAATGATGATTGTCTCTTTCTGATAAGTTGTCTTTGAGCCTTTGCCTCTTTCAAAAGATCTGGGTTTCTCTTTTTTGATGTCCAAGAAATTATAAGGATTCTTCTGCAAAACCACATCTCCAAGGCCTCAAAAATTCTTTGGCTTGTTTATTGCTGTCTGCATGCACGCATGTGTAGGTATGTCTATGTATGTGTGTGTTTTTTTATGTCTGTGTATGTATATATTACAAATGTCTGTATATGAGTGTGTATGTATGAGAATGTAAGAGTATGTGTACGTGTGTGTATGACTGTGTATTCATGATGTGTGTATTCATTATTCTACAATGTATATTTCTTTATTATATACATAACATGAATTACTGATAACAGGCATTGGTATTCTGAAAGATGAGTGCTTAGAAGGCCCGAATGTCAGACGGGCCTGCTTGCCCAATTTGTAACCCATTGAACAAAAAAGTTAATTCGTTCGTTCTGTCTCGTTAAAAAGGTGTTGGAGGGCTAGAGGAGCAGCTTCACCACACCAGGTTGTATCCTATAAGGTCTGGCTGCTGTCTACTGAGTGACTGGTCCCTCACAAAGAGTTGCTACACAAACTGCAACCCCTGAAGTTAATCATCGTAAAATAAACAACAGAATTTGAATCTGAACTCAAAACATTCAGGATATGAGGCAAAAGAGTTATATTCTTTGCCTTGAGAGACTCCTATCTGCTCTGTAAATCTAAACAATGTATCAAACGCATACTTCAAATGTCTTTCTTTCTACAGTAATTTGCATGCACTTTTTTTTTTTTAAAGAATAACATACCGCCATATCCAAAATGATCTTTGCCACTGTCTGTCGCAAGCTCGAATGAGAAAGGAAGGAGGGACTTGGGCATGGGGTTAGCTCCCCCCACTCTAAAAAAAATATCTTTGCTAGAGAAACTCACAGGAAAAGAAATCACATCATTAAGAAGAGAATGGAGGTATAGTCTGTGAGCCCAATGCAACATTTAATGGCATGACCGGATGAAGATGTCCTTCTAAAGTTACTCTTCTGCTCAGGATTTGTCTCTTTAGACAAAGCATCCCCCCAACACTTCGATAAGGTCCAAAGTGGATGAAGAGAATACAAAGCCTAATGAAATTAAACAAAGCTGCAGAATGCAAAGGGAAACTACCATTATACATCCCCTGTGCGTTATGATTCTGCAATTCACAGTTTCAAAACTGACCGAATCCAAAGCTTCTTATGATCAAATGCGATCAAATTATGACCATCCAGGCTTATCAGGCCTGATCCAAGAGTGGTGATCTTGTGAGATACAAATAATGAAGATCCATGCTTATTTGTTTTGTGACATATCTTTTATATCACTGAACTAGTTATGTTGGTTTCCCAAATTTGTGTGTGTGTGGGGGAGGGGGGATCTCTCCTTAAAAAGTATGTCATAAAAGGCAACTAATTGTGTATTTGCTGAAATATGTGTTATGGCTAAAAGATGCGGGTATCACAGCCCAGCTTTAAATGTACCGACCGCCTTTTAAAAGGTGGATGCAGAAGAAAAGACTAAACTATCGCTGCACACAGAAAATTTTCTGTTGTCAATTTCTGAAGTTAATTACATTTTGAAAATCACAGTAATATACAAAGGAAAAAAATGCTAGCTAGTGGATCTCAATGCTGGAAGCACCATTTATTGCAAAGAAATATGTAACTTAAAAAAAAAAAAAAACGATGTGTTTCAACCATAACTTCATGATCCGTTAATTAAGGGTACAAGGGAACACATCTGTATTTGAGTTCTCAACACATTAAAAACTTGGCAACAACTAATTTTTGGTTTGATTGAAAAGTTCTGAATCCTCAACACACAAAAGTTTAAATGTATCTTGAAATATGTCAAGGAATGCAATCTCTAAACACAGATTAGGGAGACACTGACGAACAGAGAATTGTCAAGCAGAAATTCGTCCTGTTTCCTTATTATGAATTTAGAAAAAGTGTGCACAAGTGTCCCAGTTCTAGGTTTTTTATTTATTTAGTTCAGGAACTGACTGGTGGTCATAAAGTATTCAAGGCTCATGTTGAGCTCAAAAGGGCAATTTTTATGGGGATCGTCGTCGGTCCTGCAGAGGTCGTGCACTGTCTGACGCATTCGGCAGGCGGCTTGCTGTTCTACAGAGACTGAAGTCGTGTGGAACAAAACCCGGTGCAATGAAGTTAATCCTCGCGGCTTTAACCTTTATGCTGATGGTACTGTTGCAATAATACTTTCTCTATCTTCTTCTTCTTCACTTACTCTTTTACCGCTGTGGGTGTCGAGGGAGATATAAGGTTCTGTTTCTAGTTCTTCTGGCTGCCTCGACCATAGGCACATCGTGCTGTTGTAGAGTTTCTCTGATGTTATCCTTTCATCTTGTTCTTGGTCTACCCCATGCTCTAAGTCCTTCTTCTCTTTCCATGTATGCTTTGTATGGTATGGTATAAAAATATAAATTCATTAGTTGTTTTTATTTGTTCTATTTCCTCGTTAATACTTAGCATTTTGGTTCCCAGTTTTTAAACACTCACATTAGGAATGTGTGCATTCTACTATCAATATATCTGTGTTCACCTGTAAAACTGATATTGTGTACCGGGTCCAATATTTTTTTCTACTCTACACCCTGCATGGAAGACTGGGTAACTAAGTAGTGTGAGAAATGAAATCTAACAAACTAAGTGAAAATATAAATTTTTCCCTATTCTTTTTTTCTCCGACAATCTCAACTCCAAAATATGAGACATGAAAAAGTTCCATCTCCAATTAATTTACACACACAAAAACATCCTTCCCATCAACAACCTACTCTCAGTGACCAAAACATTCATAAATAACAATCCCATCGATAAACCAACCTCAGTGACCAAATCATCCACAAATAACAATCCCACCAATAAACCATTCTTAGTGACCAAATCATTCACAAATAACAATCCCATCGATAAACCATTCTTAGTGACCAAATCATCCACAAATAACAATCCCATCGATAAACCATTCTTAGTGACCAAATCATCCACAAATAACAATCCCACCAATAAACCATTCTTAGTGACCAAATCATCCACAAATAACAATCCCACCAATAAACCATTCTTAGTGACCAAATCATTCACAAATAACAATCCCACAGATAAACCATTCTTAGTGACCAAATCATTCACAAATAACAATCCCACCGATAAACCATTCTTAGTGACCAAATCATTCACAAATAACAATCCCATCGATAAACCATTCTCCGTGACCAAATCATCCACAAATAACAACCTCCATGTTGATAAATCACTTTCAGAACCTCAGACCAAATACCAGCCATTCAGTTCAGACATGTATATAAACCATGCATCTAACAGTGCAGTTTCTCCTGATATATAATATATGGACAATATAGTACAACAAACACTGTACACTGTATATTAATTTTAACATGACACAAGGTGAAATAATGGAAAGGAAGAAAGAAATAAACAAGAGTTTGCAATGGGTTATTGCAAGAGCTTTTTGCTGATAATTTCATACACCATTCTTCGTCTGAAGTAGGGCATGTGCTCCTGTGGACCGAAACAAAGACAATGAGGGTAAACATACACGTTTCAACATTGTTGCTGTTTTCATCCTGAAAATACATTAACTTTTCTATAGTAGTAATAAAGCTTATGAACTACAATGACAAATGTAATTACTTTATTTTGAGGAGACACACTGCTGTTCTTCCCAACAGGACTGCATCAAAGAACTGCACAATTCAAGCATTCTTCTAGTGATCTTTATCCCCCAAATTTGGTTAAACATAACTTTTTAGGGTGCCTAATTGGTCATGTTCTTAGTATGCTTGTTTCTATAGCAAGGCACACACACCATTTGGAAGTGACAGGTTCGATTCCCAGCACTGTAATTATAGCTTTCAATTTTTATGTTGTCTGATGTGTATTTTATCTTTCTTCGAGTGCTGATCAGTGCATTGTCAATCTATTATATATAATATATTTTACGACCTCAAGGTTTACCTCTGTTTATTTATGTACACTCTATCCCCAGTGTGTCGGCTCTGTGGCTAAGTCGATGCGAACGCTTCATAATGCCGGGTTCGATCCCAGCTGCGGGCCATGCGCCTTGCGTTGGTTTCGACAGTGGTATCAAGAAAGTCGACCGTCCAGAAAGCAATGGCAAACTACTGGACGTAAATTTGCCTAGAAAAACCACACAACAGCCAGGGGCTGTTGAGGTTGGTTCTGCAATGTCCTGTAAAGGATACGCAACTCACCTATCCCCAGTGTACTTTAGGCCCCCACCCCACTAGCCAAACAAATCAAATGCCACAATTAACAAAGGGTCACTACATAAACAGTATTTGCCACCCACCTGTGTAAAAGTGATCTCCTTTCCTCTGGTTATGTACTCTGCATACATGCACATGAACATACCACAGTCACCACCGTTCATCTGTTGGGGATTTTCCTTTAAGGCAAAACAAAAGACTACAGTCAACAATACATGAGAACTTCAAGGCTGAAATACTCATTAACAAATAGTGATTAGTAAGGATTATCATCACAGCACTCCGGACAGACCCATAGGTGCTCCGATCTCCGCCTCCATAGCTCCATAAATGTAAAACAACAAATGACACCTGCTCTGTGTTGATTAATGAAACGTCTAGTCCTCTTAGCAAAATGTTGATTTCTCGCAGCCCCAGTCTGCACCCCTCATGTCTATCAGCCTAGAGAGGGATACGGAGTCACGTCCTTTGGTGTGCTCCTTCACAGGGTAAGTGCTGCGCATGGCACTGATAACATCACTTCTGCCCTGTACTGGACCAGTCACAGCAATCGCAATGTCAGCAAGATAATCTGCATGCTCGTTCCCTTGAACACCCGCATTATCTGGCACAAAGATGAAGGTTAGGGCAGCCATTCGCAAAGTGCTTAATGTTGCAATCCATTCCTGTCTGACAAAATCAGCATATATTTTTTAAGCATATTCATAGAGTCACTAAGTATGCAGGCATGTGTTAACTCTTGAGTACTAAACCATACTAATACCTTTGTTACAGCCATAGTTTCCAATGTACGGCTGCTGGTTGTAACATTAAAACGGTCATTAATCTACATGATGGTTCTTCCCCCCCCCCCCCCCCCCAGCTTACTGTGAATGCCCGTGCACGTCGCTTGCCCCGAATGACTGATCCATTTGTGTAAACTATAGCATCAACTTCATTTGTGTTTTTATAAATTACTGTTCTGACTAAAGTGTCCACAAAGCCAGGAATCTGCTATCTACAGCTTCCATCAGGTGCGATGTGGACTGTAGTGTTAATGTTTGGTGCGTGAGGCATGGGTATTTATTCAATTACAAAATTAATGACAGTAAGGCGGCAAACATTGTTTGATGGCATCCTCAGCGTGACCAATCTAAGATTTTCCTCTTTTAAGTCTATTCCTTTTTTCTTTCTGCTTGAATTATTCCTCATGAAGTGGGTGTCGGGGGTCTGACTTTACTCTGAGGACAGCAACAGCCCTGGATAGCCTGATTCTGTTTTCCATTGTGGGGAAGTCCAAGAGGCACTGCATGGATTTACAGGAGGTGTCTCTAGTGCATCCAAGAATAATACGCATTGTCTCATTTAATTTTTGCTCAATCTGTTCATCTGTGTGGTGCTGAGTGTCATGATGGCCAAGGCATATTCAATGGTGGAAAGAACTAACCCATGAATTAACATTACAAGTAGCTGTTGCAGTTTCCATAACTTTATTGCGGACAGATCTTTCTTGGCTTTGGTTATAATGTGGTCCACGTGTTTTTTAAATGCTAAGCATGTTAAACCCCCCAGGTATGTATTTCATGGAATCTGATCTCTCCATGCCAGTGCCACAGGGTCTTACCATCGACACTGGTGTTTTGGAAAGCTGATTATTTCATGAAAACCATCGATAACAGTCGCTTTTGATGGATTGTTGTCCCTGAGGTGCTGCACCAGGATGATATGCCATCTTATTCCTGTTGTAGATCCTTAACAATGTCAGCTCCGTTTCTGGCCTGATTGTATAAGGTTATCAGTTCAGAAGACCAACTACCACAACGAAGCACCACCTTCCTCTGGAAAACTGACAAATATATATTAAATGAGATGTGGAGGGATGTTGAGTTCCATTACTGAAAGATTAGTTGGTGGAAGGAAACTTTGTTGTATGCATCCTCCAGATCTATAGCAACTACACGTTTCAAAGTCGGCTTGAAAACCTTCTGTGACGTGCAAAGACAACAGCATTACACCATGCCTCAGTTTTTTTTGTCTGTATCCAGCAAGTATGGGGGGTAGGAGCTGATGTATTTCAAGCCGACTTGCCAGTCTTCTGGCTATTATCGTTTCCAATGTTTTGACTAATGTGATCTGTATTGATTCTATAGCCCTTTATGTGCGTGGCGTCTTTGCCAGGTTTTCCTAGCAGAATCAAATAGCTATGCAGCCAGCTTTCTAGGATGGTGCCTTTACAGATGCTGTCATTGTAGGCTTTATACAGGTTCTCCAAGGATGTTGTGGGCAGCTTGGCAATGTCTTTATAGTGAATGCCATCAGGGCAGGGAGCAGACATTTTTGATGTTCTGATGATGTTCTTAATTTCAGCGACTGTAACTATCTGATCATCTTTAATGTCTGTACCGGCACATGTTGCATTAGGTATATCCATAGTAGTCGGACAGCTGGCAGTGTCCTGTGTGCAGGTTTGCTTGAGGTATCTGTCAAGGAGCGCTTTTCCTCTGTCTTCATCAGACCTGTTCCATATTCGATCTTCATTACGGAAGTCTCTGATGACTTGGCGTCTGGGAGCACCTGTCATTGCCTTGTGTATGGACCAGAATTTTGCAAGAGATTTTTCCTTGCACACTTCATGACACAAGATTTCCCAGTTTGTGTCCTTGGCTTGCTGGCAACTGCTTTGAAGGCTGCTGTCGTAGTCTGCATGGTCTGTTTGTATTCCCGCAGTAAATCTGGAGTAGAGTCAGTGGATTGCACTGCTTTCTGCCAGATCTTTACAGCATGTCTTTTAAGTACCCATGCTGACTCCACCTCATCATTCCACCACAATGGTTGTTGCAGCTGTTTCCTTTGGCCTACACAGTGTCGACTTTTGATTTTCCTCAGCTTGCTTCTGACATCATAATTTTCCGGTGTATATTTAAAAGGATTTGAATGTATCCTACGATGTGTGCTGAACCCTTTCTTAATAGAATAACACAGGGACAATAGTCGCTTACATGATTACAGAGTATATACCAACCACAGAGTTGACTGAATGCAGGTAAAAATTAGGCCAAGTCAAGCACACTGTCTTCTTCTTCATCTGGTTGATGGGCCATCCTGGTGATTCTTCCATTGTTTAGTCGACTTGGTACATTTCTACCATGGCTTCCTCCAAATCCTTCCCTTGCTTGTTTGTTAAATTACTGCCAAATAGGTAACTTTTAGCGTTGAAATCGCCACAGAAAACTATGTTCTCTTTTGCTTGTATAATTTTTGTAGCACATCCATTTTTCTCTGTTTACTTTACTGTTACACGTAGATACATTACCCAGCATAAAAGACGGTTTCGTGTATATTGCAACACCTTGCAGAGCCAGAGAGACTTTCAGGTGTGCCATGAATGGAGCGATTTTCTGTAATGAACCTTCTGACTGACGATGAGCACTGAACTGTTTAAAAGCAATGGCAAACTACTGAGCATAAATACTATTAGTAAAACCACAACCAGCTTATGCTAGGGTCAGTGTGTGATGTCCTGTACAGGAAATACAAGAAACTGTAAGTAGGGGGCTTACCTCTGCATTCACCAATTGCCACTCGTTTCTTTTGAATGTGGTGTTATTTTTAGCTTTACTTTCATCTTGGAGGTACTGCCTGGAGATGTACATGACAGAGACATATGAATCATGCCATTCCTTACAGCACTAAAAGGTAAAAGGTAAAGTCTGGAGATGTGAACCAGCGTCACTGCACACAGTTATAAACCATAAGTGCTCTGCCACCAGTAGAGATGTCAACTCTGGTACCCATTTCCTAAAGGCTGGGTCAACCCCGGGAACCACCCGGTTTCAAACACCGACCGTGGGCTGCAGTGAGTCGCAGCTGGATTTGAAAGCAAGCCCTTATCGACTACGCTATTGCGGCCTGTTCTTTACAGCACTGTTTTTCTATACATTTCTTTTATTTTACAGGCAATGAAGTTAACAAACCCCCCCCCCCCCCCCCCCCCCCCCCTTTCTTCCTTTTCAGTTAGATAAAGGTTTTGTTTTAAAAGAAGGATGTTAACTTAATTTTCATTTCATAGCAACATATCCAGTGACTTCTTACAGAAGTGATTTCTCTCTTATTTTCACTTTAAAGTCGGGTATAACGAAACCTTTAACAGAATGATCTTCTCTTTTGCCTTTTTTCCACTTTAGAGATATATATAAAGATTACGCTTATTACATATGGTAATATTTCCTGATGAGAAAACTGTACACCAATTTTAACTATGAATAACCTTTATGTGTAAAGTAGATTACATAAATAACTGATAATCTGCATTAATATTTTGCAATCATAATTGTTTGTTAAATTTTAGTTATTTGCAAAAATTCTGAATAACCAACACAAATATAAAGAGTCAATTTTGTAACATATTAATTTCAAGCGACAGAATGGACATCATGGCAAATTTACTTTATAATAAAAATAATTTTAAAACCTTTATAAAATTATACTTCAGGGTCCTCATTTTGGGGAAACTAAGAAAGAACCATTGATAACCTAGCAAGCATGTCCTTGGAGGCAACTGATTAGGGGTGTGTCCTTTAAAATCAAAGTAAATCTGCCTAGGAAGCACGGAACCGACTGTTTGCATTCAAATAAGTCCGATACGTAAACAGATGTGATGCAGAACTCAAATCCTGAAAGAAAACCAAAGACAAAAATAAAAGTGGCTCACAACCAGAATTTCTGCCAGAGTTTACAGCCAGTGAACTTTACTTAAATGGGGGTCTCCTAGTTGAAAAAAAAAGGGGGAGGGGGGAGGAGGAGGAAACGTGTACATTTGCATGAAATGAAATTTAGCATGGGTCCAACAAGAAATGTGTGTACAACCAGTATGCTACATGAACAATCAGAATCTACACTACAAGGCCCACAAAATTAAGTGTGGATCCAACCAAAAAAAACGTGTGTACAACCATTATGCTATATTCCCAGACATTTACTGTAGGAGAGGGAGCATCGCTGTCTATGCTAAAAGGTCCACTGCTAAATCAGTAAATATTCCCAGTACTCATCCGTTACTCACAAAATGTGCTTTTATTTGAGGACTGCACTAGCCATGTAGTAAAAGTGGCAAATATGGACAGTAAACAGCAAGGACAGTTTTAAGTTTCCATACTGTTTCCTTTTCCAATTTTTAACTTAATTACTAGTTGTTTGTTTACAGCTTGGGTTCCATGGCCCCACTGTCGGGAACAGACCCACTTCCTCCCCAACAAGCATGTCATAGGAGTCTTCTCATTTTGGGCATCCTTCCAAGTTGGAGTGCCTCTGCCTGAAGGGGCAAGGAGTGAAGAGTTTTCAAACAAATAATCCAGACCTGTCAAAACAGATGTGCACACAGCACTCGGGTTCTGGGACAAGACTAAAGTCCAAAGGTGGAAGATCAAATAGAACCTTCTGCCAAAGTTTACAGTCGTTGAACGCAAAGATGTTTACAGTTTAACTGCAGTTTAGCCCAATGCAATGCTTGTTTTTTTTTAATTATAAAACACTTCAGTGCCTGGTGATAACTACTGTCCAGAATGAAACATAAAATTGTTGATAAACAAACAAGAACTTACAAGACTGCATAAAGGCACTGGTTGTTTTGAGCTCCCATTGAGTCGTAGTAAGTGATGACCTTCTTTACCATGTCGGCAACCTATATTTGAATTTTAAAATATAAATATTTAGGTTTTCAAGTAACATGGTTAAAGAAAACACTGACAGGTATACAGTGGTGTACAAAGACACCTTACTTTACAATAAAACCTAAACCTAGGTTTGTCTGTCACATTTAGTAGTTCATGGCTGAAACACATCACTATACAGTAAGATTGAAAAACACATCACTATGCAATAAGAGTTAAACACATCACTATACAATAAGACTGAAACACATCACTATACAATAAGACTGAAACACATCACTATACAATAAGAGTGAAATACATCACTATACAATAAGAGTGAAATCACATCACTATACAGTAAGACTGAAACACATCACTATACAGTAAGACTGGAAAAACATACTCAATAAAAATATTAAAAACCATGTAAAATACAATAAGAGTGAAACTATACACACAAGCACCAATGAACGCCACATCACTATTGGGATGACACATAATCAATACGGCAAATAACCACATCACTATACACCTGCGACTGCTGAAAACCTCATCTTTACTATACAAAAATGTGTTGAAGGCATACAGTTTGGCTCTCTCACCCTTTTCACCACTCCTCATGAGTAAGTTCATGTAGAAATTGATTACCTGTAAAGATAAGCATAGCAAAATTGACCTAGTATAAAAAAATGCATCTAGCAAATAAATTACCTAGCCTGTAAATATAACTTTTCAGTCATTCTGACATTTTATCTCACAAAACCATTGGCTGGTAAAATACATACATTTAAATATTAATTAGCCCTGCCCTAAAATGACTGCTTCAACAAAAATGTTGAGTTAAGAATCGACATCACAGCACTCAGGACATAAGTGCTCAGTCCCCAACTTCATAAGCAATCGAAGGGTTAAACAATTCTGATGGTACCAGTAACTGTCTGATTGTATATCCGTCTCGCCTTTCCCCTAAGTGTGGAGCCTCTGCAAGAGTGTAACCTCGCAGTCTTTATTTTAAGACAGAATGATCGATCTGTGCCTCGGCACTGAAACTCGATCATATACAGTAAGAGTCTCTGGCACAACATAAGAGTTCAAATACATATCATACAATAAGAAGTGAAGCTGGTCAACATCATGTTGAACATATCATCACCTGTAGAAGTAAAAGGCAAAGCAAAAATATTGAACACTATGTCATCACTGAAAGTAAAGCTGGCAACAAATGTTGAACATGTCCATCACTGAGAAGTAAAGCTTACATAATGCTGAACATCCTCATCAGCAAAGTATGCTGGCAAACATAATGTTGGTCCATATCATCACTAAGAAGTAAAGCCTAGCCAGCATCTTTAATGTTGATACAAAAATGTCATCACTGCATAAGTTTGGCTGTCAAACATAATTCTGAACATATCATCAGAGAAGTAAAGCTGGCCAACATAATGTTTACCTATCACTAAGAAGTAAGCTGGCCAAAAATGTGAAACATATCATCACTAAAGAATAAAGACTGGCCAACATAATGTTTGAACATATCATCACTGAGAATAAAGCTAGCCAGTCAATTTGAACATATCATCACTAAGAAGTAAAGGCTGGCCAGCATAATACATTTAACATATCATCACTAAGAAGTCAAGCTGGCCAACAAAAATGTTGAACATATCATCACTGAGAAGAAGTAAAGCTGACCAACATAATGTTGAAAATATCCGTCACTAAGAAGTCAAAGCTGCAAGCATAATGTTGAAACATATATCTGACTGGTAAGTAAAGCTGATTAAAACATAATCCGTCTCGCCTCATCCCAAGAGTAAAGGAGCCTCGACAAGTTCCCCATATCATCCTCGCAGTGCCATGAGTCTACAGAAATATAATGATCTATCTGTGCCTCGGCACTGTTCACTCGCTCCCAAAGGGCCCTCATAACATCCAGCATGCTGCTTTAACAAAGTCGCTATAGTCCCAATATGTCTACAGAAATTATCTGCCTGAAGACAACAGTAATGGCAATGGCACAATCTGGATATTAACTCAAGGTACTAGATTTTTTTTTAATGTGTGATCAATCTTACTAGAACAATATATCAATATTCATATAGCTGATCAAATAAATAAATCAAATATGTTTTCCTTTATTTTCTTAGAAATTACTGAATTCTTTGTCAACACCCTTTCATAATCCAAAAATCAACTTCCGTTTTAAAATGGTGATGGGTGGCTGTATTATTTTTCTGTGGCTGTGATTTTCCTCGGATAGTTCTGTTCTAGTTTCATGGGCTGTTATTATATGTGTTTCCTGCGCACTATACTATGAGTTTTTTTCCTGTGAGCAGCGTGTTTTGTGGATGTGCTATGTCGGAGTGAGATGATGGCCAATGGATTTGGCAGCCTTGATCATATTCCTTTTAATGCTATGCTCTAAAGCTTAACAATAACAATATTATCTACAGCATAGAGGAGCCAGGAACTAAACCACAGAAAGAGTTTGTATGACAAGCTGCTTGTGTGATCAGACTTACCTCATCATTCAACCAGTTAAGCCCACTCAAAGTTACAATGTCTCTGCGGGTTATCTGAAGACGGAAGTCTTCTGACAACACTTCATTTGGATTCCCTGGTCGCAATGCTCTGTCAATCAGCATTTGCATGTCAGGTGTCAATTCTGTAGATGAGATATGTTTCTCGTGTCATTCAATCGTACGGCAGTTACAGAGTTTATTTGTCAAATATCATGCAAATCAAATCAAATACAGAGGTTCTGAAGGGAGTAGGAATGAAAAAGAGAACTGCTGAAAGAAATTTAAAAAAAAAAAAAAGGAAGTAAAAAATATTTCTGCATTTTTAACAGACAACCATAAAATCCAGAACTGACTGAACATCCAGAACAGGATGAACATCCAAAACAGGATGAACATCCTGAATTTGTTGTCAGAGCCCGCGAAGAAAAGCAGAGATGAACTGCAATTCTGGAGGTGAACAATGACCACACTTATGTCAGGACCCATACATGTATAAAGAATTAACCAAGGTTCTACAGACCTGGGCATATGTTAGGAACTATACACTACTACCAGGGTCATACTGTATAAATATGACACATTACTCGTATATGTGTTACCATGAAAAAGATGCATGGACTCAAAAAAATGTTATTATACTACAAAATAAATAAAAGTTGAACAGGATACCAGGCGAACACTGTATATTGAAAAATTTCCTGGAGATTCCGTAACTTTATCCGTAGATTTGATCTCATTTCTTAGCACTGAGAAGTAAAGCTGGCCAACATAATGTTGAACATATCATCACTAAGAAGTAAAGCTGGCCAGCATAATGTTGAACATATCATCACTAAGAAGTAAAGCTGGCCAGCATAATGTTGAACATATCATCACTGAGAAGTAAAGCTGGCCAACATAATGTTGAACATATCATCACTGAGAAGTGAAGTTGGCCAGCATAATGTTAAACATATCATCACTGAGAAGTGAAGTTGGCCAACATAATGTTGAACATATCATCACTGAGAAGTGAAGTTGGCCAACATAATGTTGAACATATCATCACTGGAAAGTAAAGCTGGCTAACATAATGTTGAACATATCATCACTGAATGCTGATGAGTCTACATAAATATAAGTCTAGCATCATACTCCCGATGCATCACCGGTGTAAGAAGGATCCTCTACTTTAACTTATCATTCTTGACTGTTTGCTAATTCACTGTCTTTATATAATTAAAAAAAAAAAACAATGTTTTCAAATACTACATAAATAATATTACAATTCTTGTATGTTCATCTGGGTAAAGATTGGACATCATGTCATTCAGGACAAGCCCACATTAGCTCTATCTCCCTCCTCTACAGCCAGCACAGAGTCTCCATATTGATTGTACACGCCATATGGTTAACCAATCGTCTTGCCTTTTCCCTAAGTCTTGTGTAGCACAGCCAGCAGACACTCCCTGCAACATTGTCTTCAGGTGCGGGTTTTCAGTATCTTTAATTTTACTTGCTACATAGCCCCAAGGTGAGAAATCACTTCTGCCCATTTGAATGCTGCTGCTACTACTTCAACCTATAACCTAATTCTAGAGGTGGTAATGTTGTCAGCAAAGTCTTTAAATAATAGTACCATTGTGTTGTCTTCAAATACTGTACAAATAATGCTATAGTTCTGCGAGTGTTTACCTGGTAGTTTATCTTCCTCTTCCTCCTCTTCCTCCCTGAAAATCTCTTCACAAACTTGGGGTTCCTCATCAAAGATTCTCATCTGATACTTCAACTGTTAAAATATGAAATACAAAATAAACTTTAAAAAAAATTCATTCACCACAGTCATTATGTTTCATATCTTCTTCTTCTCTGAGTGTTCAGTTTTGTATGCTCAGATCAGACCATCAGGTGGGTTGGCTCTATGAGCTCACATGTCAGCTGCAGGTCCTTCATCGTTACCCATAGCTTGCTCTGCACCCCTTACTCTTGAGGCCAGAATTCTTTTTAAAGTGGATAGAGTGGGCAGATCTGCAGAATGTGTGCAGGTGTTTTGTCTGTCAGGCACATTGTAGGGACTGTACAGTCTTATGCAAAGGGCAGTTGAGCCTGTAGTGTCCTGTTTATAGATGGAAAATTGTGGTATGTTGCTTTCTGTTGAGTCTGCTAATGGGGTCTTGTGGATGTTTACTGTTGGTTTGTTCTCTGCAAATACCTTGTATTTTCTCTTAATAAATGTTTTGATTTTTGGTAATGATAATAAATGGGTGTGTTGTTTCTCCTTTGTTCCTTTTTTTGCAAGTCTGTCTGCTAACTTATTTCCTGGTATGCTTCAGTGAGTTCAGGATCCATTGGAGAACAATTTGTTTTGTTTTTTCTGAGAGTCGGTTTAGCTGGAGGGTCAGTTCTCTCTCCATGCTTTATCGTGGATCCCTCTGAGTCGCCTGGAGGACTGACATGCAGTCACCAAGGAAAACAATTTTGCTGTTTTCAATTTTTCTTTCCCTAAGCACTTTGGCTGCATCAATAATTGCTTGCTGCTCTGCAGTTTGTTGAGAGCCTTCCGGAGGCGTATGGCGTTTCAACTGTGATCCCATCTTGCAGCATAATGACCGATCTAGCTCCTCTGTTTGTTGTCTGCTCCCTCCAATGATCCATTGGTGTATACGTGTGTCCATTGCGGTTTTGGGTAAGAGCTGTAGACATGTTCAAGGGTCTTTGCATGCAGTACTAGGTCAATGCATCATACGACTTTGTACATTATGGTTTTTCGTTTTGTTTATTTAAACAAAAACATTAGGTAATAAAACTACATATAAAGGGTACATATATATATAAGAAAGACTAAAACAGTCAATAACAGAAATGTGGAAAGATCCAGATAGAAAGAAACATAACAAAAGAGGGGGGGGGGGGGGGGGAAACAGGGAGAATAGACAGCAGGTGACATGACACACTGAGTGCCTAGCATACTTACACTTCTATCCAGACTGATCTCCTGTGCCCTTCGCTGAGGAAAGAACATTGTCATGCATTACAAAAAGTCAAATTGTGCACAAGTACAATATAAAACAGTTAAATGTTCTGTGGGGCAGTAAGTCACATTTAAGTAGCTTGACGTGAAGTCGCTACAAACATGTTTCAACAGACTATGTATCACTCAGACACCGTCAGTGCCCTTAGAGATAGGACGTTTCCAGGATTTTGGAAGCAATGTGTCCACATCACTGCTAAGAATATGAGATCTGGGAGTAAAGATCAGTACAGCCAAACATGAGAAACATACCCGACGCACACAGTTCTTGTCAACCAGCAAAGGACTGGCACGATTTACTGTGCGACGCTGATGGATATATTGAAGGGGGGATAGGAATGGTTGTGCTGTGAAAATAATTCAACTCATAACCAACTCATCAAACTTTACCCCCAGGTCATATAATCAAGTTAGTGCCAGAAACTCATAGTGTTGATTACATTAGCTCTGTCACGCTTCTTCCTGCCACTCGCATCAGTACTTTACTGGCCAGGCAGTCCACTTGATCATGTATCTTAGTCAGTTATGCATACCTTACAGCAAACAGCTGTGTGCTTGCATGTTTTACCTCTTCATGTGCACTGGTGATATTACCTAATTCTGTATCAAGGTTGTCTATCTCACAGTAGATAGTCAACCTCTTCCACTTTCATCTTGCAATAAAGCTCAACCAACACATGTCAAGCTTTTGTTGGCTTTGGTTGTTTTATTTCTTTTTTCTTTGTTCACTAGCTGTAACCTCTGGCGAAAAGTCCTGGCAGTTCATCCATTTGGTCTTTGTGCCAAGGTCTGAGTTTGACATGTAAATCTGTTTTACTGGCTTATTTGTATACAGTTGGTTGTTTCTTGCCTCTAGGGCAGATGCATTCTAACTTTGAAAGAAGCACCCAATTAGTCGACTTTAAACATGAGTCTATTTTTTGGGGTGCCCAGAACCCATATAGGGATAATTATATTTGAATAGGACATGAATAATACAGGTATTGAGGCAGATTTAAGTGAACAAAAAGGCAAGGATTGTGTTGCATAAAGAGGAAAAATTAGGAAGAGAATGGGGATAAAGAAAACAATGATTGCAGACAGGTAAAGAGTTGAGCAACTGAGAAGCTTGTGAAATAATGCTGTGGCAACACTGTTCTTGAAATCCCAAACTTTAATTATAGAAGGTCTTGCTAGCCACACTCACTATCACCATGGCTATGATTCTCATCATACCTTCTTATCGTAGAATACAATCATTCTGAAAGATGAAAAAATCCCTAACAATTAACCTTGTCAATTAACATTTCCATGAGGTATCAAGTCCTACAATAAACCCTCCTCAGTCACCTGTTACAACATACACAGTCAGTTGAGGTTCTTACATGCCTGCAGTAGGGCCGCCCCATAGCTGCCCCCGTGGAAATCATACACATAATACCCCAGCTTAAAACTAGTGGAAAACTTGTCAGTCACAGCAAATCTTAAAGCTTGCATATGCAAAGTAAAAATGCATAAGGCAGCTGTCAGATGTGCGGTAACATGGTAGGTTGCAACGCTGCTACTATTTGCATTCCTTAATGTTCCCAGTAAGGTCGGAAGAATGTATATCTACGAAAGTCATAGAAGCCAGCCGTGCATGCTGGATGCCTTACTTGAGTGATTATGTGTTGAAAATACCCTGAATTTACTTCCCTTTATACACAATTACCATACATGTTACATTCTTAACCTTGCAACAACAAAAAAAAGTGCATTATATTACCTTTTTTTCATAAGCTCGGGCTTTCATTTCCTCTTCTTCAATCAGCAGCTTCCTATTTTTCCGCTCCTCTAATCTAGCCCTTTGTCTGCGTACAAGAAAAAGATGTTAATTACTGTACAGTATCACTTAATACTGCAGCTGACACAAATGTACAGCTGAAACAAAAATACAATCACAGTAATGACAGTTGTTAAAAAAAAAAAGTAATTTTGTGACAGCTAGTTGGCATTCTCTTTCCATTAGTGACACCAAGTTTTTGCATGTGTCTGGCAATTATCTCTCCATCGTTTTCTTGGTCTGCCTCGTCATCTCCCTAGTGTATCAGTTTTCACTTCTGTCATCTGACATTCTCTCAATATGCCTCAACCATTTCAGTCTATTACCTCTCATGATGCCAGTTATCAGTTGTGATTCAAACATATCCCACGTTCGTAAAACTTCATCTCATCACAAAACAGATATCTAAGCCTCGATTTCAGATGGATTTTTGTGACATATAAAGAATGCTTTTTGAAATGTGCATGTTAAACTGTGCTGGCATCTATCGTTAAAAGTTAACAACAGAAAGCAGTTGGCTTTGACTTATAACAATACTATTTAATGATTAAATGTTTCTTTAACAGTGTCCAGAATTTATACAAATAAATTCAAAGCTGTTTCAATGTAACCACAAATCACGGTAATAAAAAGACATCTCCGGGAAGGCTAACCCGGTCAACAAATGCCCGCAGAAGTCGGATGTGTTGGCCGAAGGTGCAAATATCGCAGCCATGCTGTAAATGGACACAACGTAATTATATCTTTGGATAAACGCAGAAGAAGAAGAAAAGACATCTGATGACTTAGTCATCTTATGTCCTGTGTTGTCTGCAGTTTCTGTGACAACATGAGAAAGTAAATTATCACTTCTAATGATAATCCACTTTGTAATATATCCTCAATAAATAACTATTCATCTGTGCATATTTCTGCAAAAAGTAATTTCAGTTCTAATGAGAAATAAGACAATACAATACACACATCTACTCACTCATCTTCTATTTCCCTGTCATTCATAAACCTGGACTGTAAAAAGCTAAGCTGACTTCTGAAATGATAAAATAAGTTTGTTTTATACATAAAGCACATGTGTTTTCTAACTTTACTTTCCATCTGAATTAAAAAAAGTAAAAAAAAGTAAAGATCCCTTTTCACGCCTTTCGGTGCATCGGGCATATGGGCAGAACGCCCCATATTTTTACAGACCATCAGCGGTGGGTATGTGGCATTACGCCAGCGTCCCCACTTTCTCATTTTTTTACAGCGACGTCCCATACCACAACAAAAATCCACGCAGCCTGCAGTGTTTCGATCGTGGTATGTGGTCAGCATAAACAACGCCTTAGCCACGGACGCCGCCCATCTGAATTACATTCACATAAACTGAGGAGGTTTAAACCATAAACATTAGCACTACAAAGACGTACAATCATATGTTATTTCAAGACAATAACACTTTTCTGCATCATTAAATCCATGTTCTTCAACAAACGACCGCAGGCTTTTGAAGATTTCCCGGTGTTTGTCAAAAATGGTCGTCCAATCATGTAGTGACTGCAGTGGAAACAACAACAACAACAAAAGAATAGAAAATACGTTTGCCTGTCAGAAACAAAACTTAAGCCACCAATGTAAGATTGTTTTAATCTTTAAGTAGCACAAGACGCATTAGCTAAAAACCTAAAATTATATCTACATGTGTATTTGTTTATATTTTAGCTGCCAGCCGCACCACAAAATACTTTTTTTATTTCCACAGGCCACCAGGTGTTTTAAAAAAAATGCGGAAGCACACTGTTTTAAAATTGCTTCTGCCCCAGGCGACCCACCTTGTGTGATCAACAACTTGGTTCATGTTTATCAGGAGACATTGGGGTGTTTCCCTTTTATATTTGGTCTTAGCATACCAAAATAGAAATTTTTGACAGGCCTCATTGTCTCTGTGCATCTTTTCAAGCAATAAGATTGTGTATTTTTCTGTGCCTATTTGAACTGTTGTCCCTCTGAGCTGTCTCAGCTAGACGCTGAGCCCGAGGATCTGACATTTTTCTGTGCCTATTTTAACTGTTGTCCCTCTGAGCTATCTCAGCAAGACGCTCTTCCTGAGGATCTGACATTTTTCTGTGCCTATTTGAACTGTTGTCCCTCTGAGCTATCTCAGCAAGACGCTCCGCCTGAGGATCTGACATTTTTCTGTGCCTATTTTAACTGTTGTCCCTCTGAGCTATCTCAGCTAGACGCTGAGCCTGGGGATCTGACATTTTTCTGTGCCTATTTTAACTGTTGTCCCTCTGAGCTATCTCAGCAAGACGCTCTGCCTGAGGATCTGACATTTTTCTGTGCCTATTTTAACTGTTGTCCCTCTGAGCTATCTCAGCTAGACGCTCCGCCTGAGGATCTGAAGGTCGAGGGTTCAGTTCCTTGCGAAGCCAGTCTTTTTTTTTTTTTTTTAAATGACCTTAGCACCCAGATCAACCCAACCTTAAATGAGTACCAGGTAAAGTCATGGAAGGTAAAGGCGACCGACATGATATTCACCATATGTGACACATTTTGCTTTAAATCGCCTTTAATGATACTTGTTGAACTCAATTTCTTCTTGATTTTATTGCAAATTCCATTTTTAACCACAGTTCCAAAGCGTGCATCTAGTGAAAGTGATAATAGTGACAGCAAGAGGAGGAAGAGTCTTATTACATTAGAATTAACATGTGGGAAAAGTTGCACATCACAGGAATAGACATGCAGTCATTTAGAAATATACTTTACCTAAAATCTGTTGCTTTCTGTGTTTGTGACTCTGAAAAATGTATGGCAATGAGTAAAGACAAGCTTATACACTTATAAAGGAATATCAGTAATGTCTTCAAGCTATAAGATACTATCGGCGGTACTGTTAAACAGGCTAAAACCACACAAAGACATACTGGAAGATCACCAAGCAGGTTTTTCAACAACATATCAGATATTTATTTTTTATGGCAAACAACAGAGCAAAATTGGGGATATAAAAGAGATTTACATAACGTTTTTGTGGACTTTAAAAAAGGCATATATATGATAGAGTACACAGAAACAGTTTATGGAATGCTATGAAGGACTATGGAATACAAAAGAAGTTAATAACCATGACCATATTATGTATGGAAGATACTAATAATATAGTAACATATAAAGGCAGAAAGTCAGACCCTTTTCAAATAACATCTGGTTTAAAGCAAGGTGATGCTCTATGCCTACTTCTTTTCAACCTGGCCCTAGAAAATATCATATAGAATTTGAAAGAAGAGTATACTAACAGAGAAACTACAAGAATACTTGGTTATGCAGATGACATTGATATGATTAGAGAAAATTGAAGTTTACACTAGAGACAACATTGCAGACATAAATACGAAAGAAGAGGAAGCATTAGAGAAAATGAACTAGACATTGTAAAAACATTGGTTCTCTCAAAAGAAGCAGCTCACAAAATGGGATTAGTTATCAATCAAGACAAGACAGAATATATGACAATAACAAAACAGGGAAAGATATATAAACTCCGGCCTTTATACAAGTTGATAATATGAAATGCAAACAAACGGAAAAATATAAGTGCTTGGGCAAACTTGAGCTGCCCCAACACGCAGAGAGAAAAAAATACAATCTAAAATACAATCTGGTAATAAAGTATACTACGCCCTTCAACATCTGCTAAAGCCAAAGTCTCTATCTCGCAACACCAAGATCAAAATATATAAAACGATAAGACCAGTCATTTTATACGGATCTTAAACTTGGAGCACAACTAAAAGAGATGAAGCCTTATTACAAAGTTTTGAAAATAGTCTGACGTATCTTTGGACCCATCAGGGATGCAAACAGCGGAGAATGGAAAGTGAGAAGCAACAACGATATTCATAATATGTTTAAATAACCACTGATCACTGGCATCATGAGAGCTAATAGACTGAAATGGCTGGGGCATACTGAGAGAATGGCAGGTGACAGAACTGAATCCGACCATGAGGCAGACCAAGAAGATGATGGAGAGATAATATCCAGACAGTCCAACAAATGCTTGGTGTCACCAACTAGAAAGAGAAGAATGGAGGCGGGTGACATCCGCAGCAAAAAAAACCTCAAGAGCTCGAAATGTTGAACAAATGCCTTTCAAGGATGAGAATCAAACAGGTTGAAATCCAGGAAACAAAACATTTACGAAGTAAGCTGTAGTCCACTGTGGGTGGGTATTAAAGAAAGCATTTATACATTAAATCAAATGAACAACCCAACTTAACGTAACAGTACTCAGCCTCTGTTAGCACACATAAACCAAGATGGATCCTAAAGTGGTTAAGAGATAAAAGGACCCTTTTCTATGCCTTCAGGCATCCTGGGCATACAAGGATAGATGTATATTTTAAAGACCAACCGGCACTCAGCGGGTGATGTCAACATCATGCCGGAAACCTTTACTTCCCAAGACTTTACCCGGTACCCATTTGAGGCTGGGTCAACCTGGTAGCTAATGTCATTTTCAGTTCGGGCCAGGTGCGCGGGGTATGAGGATGTGTCGTACTCTGTCAACGTTACAGCACTTCGGATAAATCCATATTCTTTACAATTCCAAGAGTTAGCTGCTTCTTTTTATTTTTTAGCACAATTCTTATTGCCTCATAAAAACCCTGGTCTGGTACTACCCACTCCCTTCCCTTCGCCCAGACACTGTCCCTTTCACCTGGTTCCCTCAGCCGTCCCTAGGCCACCAAGACGCCAATCCCCCACGCACTCACTCAGACAGCTCCATCAGTCTCAGCTCCTCACTCAACATTGGCATCTGCCGGCACTCGTGAAGCAAATGTGGTACATGCCTAAACTCTTACAAAATATTTCTGTCTTAATGTTCAGCTAAAAAAAATAGTGGCCATCTTGTACAAGAAGTCACAACCAGGACTTTCCTCCAAGCTTACAGTCAGTGAACAAAGAAGAAGTACATGGGGGCATTACTTAAAATTATGATAACTGTGTGTTACTGGTACTGTAGTATGCGCCTGACGTGACTACAGCTAAATATGGCAGGCAATAAACTGTACAATAAAAACAATGACAGAAACAATGATACTGATCTTCACCTTTTGTGACTGCTGCTCTGTCTGTAGCTGAAGCTGATTTTGCTGCTGTGGGTTGACTATCATCATGATCATCATCAATTATCAAAACAGCATCAGACTGTTGACTTGATGGACACACTTTCACCTCTGTGTTTGCTTGTGGCTTGTGTGAATGGTCTTTGAGCCTGTTTGTGAGGAAGTTCTGATCATAGTGAACTGCTGACTTTCTAACCAATGTGTCCATGTTATATCTTTGACGTCGCTCATATAAAGTGTCCAACAACGACTTTGTCTGGATTGATTTTACAAAACTGAAACAAGATTGTTTCAACAAAAAAAGATTATACAGATGTTGTCAAAATTAAATAATTATTATCTAAATATTTCACTGAGCAACTGTAAACAGGTGTTTTAATTTGAACTTTACGCATGAATTCACACGACATTATTGGTTGTCTTTAAATAACAATGAGGGCGGTTAGTTAAATATGCTGATCAGCAAACAACTTAAAAGTGAAAAGTATGAGAACAAGCAACATCTTTCGTGTGGCAACATAAAGATGTGAGCCACGGACCGCAATCACGTAAAGAGAAAATTGGGGTTTCTGAACTTCTTCGCGTACTCCGGCTGTAAACTCCGGCGGAAAGTGTTTTGTACACATCTGTTTTATAGATCTGACTTATTTGTATGCAGACTGTCGGCTCTCAGGCAGATGCACTCGGAATCCACACGGTAGCTGTAACATTTCACGGGAGCTGAAATTAGTTAGTTAGTCGGGTTATCATCATTGCACTTCGGACATGTGCTTAGATCCTCCCCTCAGTATGAACCCCAGGGTCCGGTGGCTAAAAGTACCAGTTCTATGTTCATTAACAAGTCCTCTGATGTGCCTGGTGTGCATCTCATTTTTGCTATGCCGATCTTACCTCCCAAGTCTATTATTTTGGTGTGTGAGGTGGATTCACTGCCCCCAAAGTCTTCAACCCTTTCATATTTCTCGGTAGACAATAAATATCAGCATGATCCATAGGTTGACCTTCAGTAGCGATAGCAGATGCAGCCAACCTATCAGCTCTTTCATTTCCATCGACACCTGCATTTTCCTGAACGAAAATAAAGGGACTCCACGCACAGTGGACTTCTGTAATTATTCAAGCCACGGCCTTTGCACCGAACCTACCTGAACCCTCCGGATCATACTCACTGAATCACTGAGTACATATGTGCTGGTGTAATGTTGTGTTTCAAGCTATGTGAAGGCTTGCTTTACTGCCATCACCTCCATCGTCATGATGCTGGTTGTCATTGAAAAGGCGCTACTGGCTTCTTTGACTGCCCACTGAGCTTGCTGTGAATGCTTATGCGCTTCTTTGTTTACGTATAATGGATCTGACTGTGTAGATGAGTACATCTGTCTCATATGAATTTTCACTGATGACAGCGTTGATTTCTGCATTGACAGCAATAGCAGATTCTGCTACCTACATTGCGTGTTGAGTGCGGCAATACAGAAAAATGTACCAAAAAAATGCAACAGGCATGGGTATCCATTCTGCACCAGGAGTGATGTCGATTAGGCTGCATTTGTGCTTGGTAACATTTTATGCCCAACCTAGCCATGATTTTCCCCTCTTCAGCCTATCACCCTTTTCACTGAAAAGTGCTTGATGCAGTAGGTGTTTCTCATCAGCGCATATTTTAAGGTATGCCCGAGCTCCAGATCTGGATCCTTTGGTTCATGGTTAGAAAGTCAAGTAGATATCTCACTGCCACACAGGATGTGTCTCTTGTACAACCCAAAATAATGCGCATGGCTTCACTTTGCAGAGAAAGAGAGAGAGAGAATAGAGAGAGAGGCAGAGAGAGAAGAGAGAGAGTGAGAGAGGCAGAAAGAAAGAGAGAGAGAGATCTGCTGCAATAGTCCAATAAACCTAAGATCTGCTGCAAAAGTCCAATAAACCTAACTCAATGCTTTCTGGCCTACACAATTTATACCCGAGGACAGATTCAAGAAAAGACAACTTCAGGAGATATCAGCACATGTTCCAAGTTTATGTCTGAAGGTGTACGAAGAAGTAGTAATCTCTCAAACTCATTAGGGCTATAAAGGAATAGCTGCTCTGGCTGATATTTTAGGTTCTTGTGTCAAATAGTTAAATATATGAATGAATGAATGAAGCTTTGACATCACTGAACTCGGGACATTCCCATACATGTTCCGTCTCCTTCCCAGGCCAACAATAGTACCAGTTACACCGTGATTAAAAGTCTGCTGCCCCACAATGGTTAATACCTTCCAAAAACCCGAATTAGTCTTTCAACATATTAATTATGTGTCTGTTTATTACACTGTCCATTTGATCCCAGGCAGCCTTCACTGCGTCCGCTTTATCATAAAATAGCTCACATCCCAGAGGAGCGACAACCTGCATTCTCAAATGTCCTGGACAAAAAATCCAGGATATGCTCCTGATCAGGGTTAAATATAATCAGTGTCATATCTGAAAGTGTACAAAGAAGGAACAGACTTGCTGCCTCTTCAGTAGAATGCAGACACTGAATGGCTAGGGAAGGCAATCCCAACAGAAATACATGTAATCAATGGCATTTTTATTTTACAGAAATCACAGCAATGTGAAGCAAATAGGATAGCGATACCTTCACAAGACCAGAAATATTTAACTGCACGATAAATAAGATGGTTTAAAATACAATACAGAGATAAAACATTTCATTTAACTGACATTCACACAGGCAAATTTAATAAGAATTCATTTTGTCTAATTTTATTCTACCAGTATCAAATAAAGACCCTTACTAAAACGAATAAATGCAAAATCATATTAGAGATAAAATGCCTCAGAAAAGTTGTCAATGTAACAAGAAAAATGAAGAAATTAGAAGACTAGGACGTAAGCCAATAAAACAGTTCATTAAGAAGCCACACACAAGATAGTTTGGCCACCTGACGGCAATGCCCTGGCACCAAATGCCAAGACAGCCATGTAGAAGGAACAACGAAAATAGAGTGAGGGGAAGACCATGCAAAATATGGAATGTAAGAGTTAAGAACAGCCTTGAATAATTAAGATCAACAGATGCACTCAGAAGATCCTTACACCCCCTCAAAACTTTGATAAGGTAAATGGGGGAAGAGAAGAAGAAAACATTCAACTGACATCTATATTGTGTGTGCTTTTACCTTTGAGAGACATAATCAGCATTGCTGCTGTGTGGTGTCACTTTGTGTCTAGGAATGTTAAAGATGGGTTGGCTGGGCTTGGCTTCCATCAACTGGCTTGATCTCTTTGTTTGTTGATCAGCAAAACTGTTTAAAGTTGTGCAAACAATTAAAAATATTTTACAAAATTTCACAAAATATTATCTAGATATTGTTCTGTTTTCCCTGAAGCAGCCATAAACTGCCAATCAATGAGTTTCTTATTACAGTATTATTGTGAAAAACTTTAAAAAACAAACATTTAAAAAAACCAATTAACAATAAAGTTATATTCTCCCTGTGTGGGTTCCGGGACCCTATTGTTGGGAAAACAAGAATAGACCCACTGCCTCCCCAAAAGCATCTCGTGAGAGTCGACTAACTGGGGAGCTTCATTTGAAGTCAGAGTGCATCTGCCTGAGAGGCAAGGAACCAGCAGTCTGCATTCAATTAAATCAGATCTGTAAAACGGATGCACACGCAACACTCAGGTTCTGGAGCATGACTGCAGTCCAGAAGTGGATGAACAACCAGAACTTTACGCCAAAGTGTACAGCTGGTGAACGCGAAGAAGAAGATAAAAATAAAACTAGACATGATTTTTGTCTCCTTCCGTGTTTGCTTCTAAGAGTGGTCGGGATGTTGTGATGTGGTTTGCAGCTAGTTTGCAATAACAGCACCTCATGGTCCAACACACAGGTTTTCAATACACCATCAGTTACCTTTAAAGACATGCTTGTTAGTGGCTACCCCACACCCCTTTATTTCCCAACCCCAAATGGAGCCTTCGAACCCACATGTGGAATAAAAGAATTCCCATGCTATGAGATGTATTGGGTTCCCGCTGTATTATTACACACCAACTGGCATGTTGTGGGTGATGTCAGTATCACATCAGTCATCAACCACATGTGGGTTCCGCTTCCCTTTTCTTGGTGGTGGAAGGGGGGGTGGAGAAACCAAACAGTGCCCCTAATAAGCATGTCTTACATGGCAACTAAGAAGGGGAGTTTCCTTCAAAATGGAAGTACAACCTTCTGCATACAATTAAGCCAAATTTCTAAAACCGATGCACATGCAAACCTCAAGTTCTGGAACATCAAAGTCCAGAAGTAGGTGAATAACTAGAACTTTCTGCCTGCCTGAGTTTACAGCCGGTGAACGCTACAAAGAAGACATTATCCATATTTACTTCCCATCTTTACAATCTCCCAGAAAATTTCCTGGTAACAAATGTTAGGCTAGGCTGAAATAATAATCCGGGTCAAATTTAAAAAAACCTAACTTTATAGGGATTCCTAGCTTTAAACACTTGATAAATGACTTTTTGAATTCATTCACTGTCGCAGTATTCAACTGTCAGTCCCTGGGGACGATAGAGTAGTGCTGCTGGTTTTGGGAACAGCATCTACTATGACTGTAAAGTCCAATGCCGAAGTAGCAGTCTATGCCACATAGTTATTTTCGTAGTCCCCTTGTGGCATCATATGTCACACAGGGCTCACAGTCTATTTCTCCACTCCACTCCATCCTGGGCAATTACTCCAATATCATGGATAAAATCCAGTCTTGCACTTTCAGCTACATGAAGAAATTAGAACACAAGGGCTTAAACCAGTCAAACAATTCACTAATGAGCAACAGATGAGATGGTCTGGCCATTTGATGAGAACGATCTGGTTCAAACAGCCATGTCTAAAGGAATATAATAAACACAGAACAGGGGAAGAATTTGTAAAAGTTGAACAAGTGCGTCAAGAACAACTTTAAAGAAATGAAGAACAACTTAAGCAAACAGAAGGATAACTGGAGGAAAAGAGAAAGAAATTTTGACTGCAAAAATAAGCTCTAAGAAACATTTAAGGTTTAAATGTAAATTCTCATATAATATTTTAACACTGATTAATGACTGCTAAATAACACAGAAGCCTAACCTTTCTGACGACGAAATTGATATAATGTCCGAGTCATTGACGTTTGACGATGGACGTGGAACTGTAAACGACACAGGTTGCTGCCACGGAGAGCGCTGAGACTGAAGCTGTAGAAGTTTTTTAAACTCTTCTTTCTCTCTGAGACGATAACACTGAAAATGCATCATAAATGTTATATAAGTAAAACCAAGTGAACAGAGTCCTTACAGATCAACAGGCTAAGTTAACTCTGTCACCTGAGAAAGCCGTTCTTTTAAATAACTTGTATGGGTTTCTGATGACAATATGTCTTTGGACAGTGGCCAGTATACTGATCTAACAGCTTCAGTACTGGATGCAGCTGCACAGTTTGTAGTACTGGTGGGTATCATCATATTTAATACTACACACAAAATAAGATATTATCTGTTGGGAAAAAAAGGGGAGATTTAGGTGTGGGTGGGGGGCATTGTGACCTCATAATAAACTTAGGCTACACCATTTTACTCTATATGGCCGTGTCAATCAAATCTGTTTTTTTGTCAAAGGGAAGGAAAACAGTTTATTCTTTGCTCCTTTAGTATTTAGTGACAACTTTAAATGATATATAAAAAAACAAAAATCCCATTTAAGGACAATAATGACATAAAAACCCCAACTTTTTAGTGACTTCAGGGCTGTAAGGATGTAACAGATAGCAGGCTTTGGCTGTCTGCTTAGTGGTCAAAGTTTCAACCCAATGGATTTCATCAAACTGACCAAGGTTCCAAATTTCTTCTGCTTCAACAAGCTAGTTTTTTCAGGTAGAGTTTCAGCTCATTTTTTTAAAAATATTTATACAGGGCAAAAAGCTTAAAACCCTAAACAACTAAATGAATGTGGTGGTCAGAAAAGCTATATCAGGATACGATACAAACAGACAATGACATAAACAATATACTGAGAGCTAATAGACTGAAATGGTTGGGGCATTTAAAAGGAATGACAGAGAAGTAAAAACTGTATACACCAGGGAGATGAATGGTCGTAGACCACGAGGCAGACCAAGAAGACGATGGAGAGATAACATCCAGACAGACCTGCAAACACTTGGTGTTACCAACTGGAAAGAGAGTCAACCAGAGAGATGAATGGAGACGGGTGATATCTGCAGCAATGAACCTCAAGGGTTCGGAATGCTAAAGAAGAAGAAGAAGCTTGGACAAGAAAGGCTTTGTGCTCACATGTAGTCGTAGAAGTAAGATACTGGACAGGATGTCTTCTTCTTCTTCACATTCACAGGCTGTAAACTCTGGTAGAAAGTTCTGGTTGTTCGTCCACCTATGGACTGTAGTCTTGTTGTTCTAGAACCTGAATGTTGTGTGCACATCCATTTTATAGATCTTGCATATTTGTATGCAGACTATCGGTTCCTTGCCTTACAGGTAGCTGCACTTCAACTATCAAGGTAGCTCCCAATTAGTCTACCCTTATTACATGCTTGTTGGGAAGGCAGTGTGTCAATTCTTGTTTTTACTAAACTACTGTACTAACATTTAACGGAAATAAATAGAAAAGGGGGAGGGGACAGAAACCCACAGGAGGAAGACAGGATGCAATCCAGGAAGATGAGATGGGTAGATGAGGAGAAAAGTTATGGACATAAACACTGGGAAGTCTTCAGGAAAAATCTGTTGGGACATTAAGGTATTTATGGAGGAGACAGCCCAACAGCGAGATAAGATGCAAGAGACTTGCTAATTTTTCCACTAGAATGGGTGCGACTTTCCTGCAAAAACAACTTGATGACAGAATTACTATGGATAGGTACTGGTTTAAGGGCAAAAATCTGTACGTTTATAAGAAGTGTGAACTTGCCCATTAGACGAAGCCCTGTTTCACTGATGCACATCATACTACAACTTCTACAGAAGATGATGTAAATCATCTTTAAAGCTCATGCCAGAGAATCCCATGCTCACGGGAAAGCAGAAAGCTAGATTAGGAGCGCCAGACTATCGACCTTTACTAAATTAGGATATATTTTGCATAGAAGTCTACGACAAGAGGTCATGCCTAACTGGGGCAAAAGCCCCACTAGAATGCCCTTAAGGTTACAGAATACACTCAGGCATTAACATTCACTAATATGAGCAGCGATTCCATTTGTGTACACAAGATACACAGGCACAAAATATTATCTAAACTACCCCTGTGAGTAAAAATGAATCGGCTGCAAATTGTCCTTACCATCTGTGCTGTTGATGGCCTGTGGTGAAATGTAGCACTTCTGGTAGAATTTCTGGAAACATTCAGACTAATTCCATTCTTCACATCATCATTCTCTACTATGCCATTGCGAACCATACCTGCGAACAATACAACATGTATCATTTCACTAACAAAACTGTCACCATGTCAAGGATCTACAGATAAAGAGGCAGCATAAACATGAAGTAAAACTATTTTCATCTGTGATCATGTTCACTGCAAACAAATCTCTCCAAAAGTGTTTCCAGTCTACACAATGAGTATCTCAGCACAGAGAACAGTGCAGATTCAATTGTGTGTAGACTAAAATCATATATGCTGTAAATATTTTTTTTCTGGTAGATTACCTAAATTTGATATTTATCCTTGGTGCCTGCTTATTCAGTCTGCTTTTTTTAGTTGCCCAAATGCTAGGCTATTTTTACCTTGCAGCTTCTGTCCTCCTCACCCTTGTCATGTTACACATGGAGCTTCTGTCCTCCTCACCCTTGTCATGTTACACATGGAGCTTCTGTCCTTCTCACCCATGCCATGTTACACATGAAGCTGCTGTCCTTCTCACACCTGTCACATTACACATGGAGCTTCTGTTCTTCTTGCACTTGTCATGTTACACATGGAGCTTCTGTCCTTTTTGCACCTGTCATGTTACACATGGAGCTTCTGTCCTTCTCGCACTTGTCACGTTCACGTTACACATGGAGCTTCTGTCCTTCTCACCCCTGTCATGTTACACATGGAGCTTCTGTCCTTTTCGCCCCTGTCATGTTACACATGTAGCTTCTGTTCTTCTCACACTTGTCATGTTACACATGTAGCTTCTGTTCTTCTCACCCTTGTCATGTTACACATGGAGCTTCTGTCCTCCTCACCCTTGTCATGTTACACATGGAGCTTCTGTCCTTCTCACCCATGCCATGTTACACATGAAGCTTCTGTCCTTCTCACCCATGCCATGTTACACATGAAGCTGCTGTCCTTCTCACACCTGTCACGTTACACATGGAGCTTCTGTTCTTCTTGCACTTGTCATGTTACACATGGAGCTTCTGTCCTTTTTGCACCTGTCATGTTACACATGGAGCTTCTGTCCTTCTCGCACTTGTCACGTTACACATGGAGCTTCTGTCCTTTTCGCCCCTGTCATGTTACACATGTAGCTTCTGTTCTTCTCACACTTGTCATGTTACACATGGAGCTTCTGTTCTTCTCACCCTTGTCATGTTACACATGGAGCTTCTGTCCTTCCCACCCCTGTCATGTTACACATGGAGCTTCTGTCCTTCCCACCCCTGTCATGTTACACATGGAGCTTCTATTCTTCTCACACTTGTCATGTTACACATGGAGCTTCTGTCTTTCTCATCCCTGTCATGTTACACATGGAGCTTCTGTCCTTCCCACCCCTGTCATGTTACACATGGAGCTTCTGTCTTTCTCATCCCTGTCATGTTACACATGGAGCTTCTGTTCTTCTCACCCCTGTCATGTTACACATGGAGCTCCTGTCCTTCTCACCCTTGTCTTGTTCGATATACTACTCCGGTGTAAGGTAGGAGTATACTATCCCTTTCCTATTTTATAATAAATCTACAAAACGAAGACCATAATACAAATCTGGTTGGTGTAAGACACCATAACCTTAAATCCAACTAAAAAAACAGCTTTATTCAAATTAGCTTTAGCTTTTTTAAGCTATTATAACTTTAAATTAATCTCTTTTTTTTAAACAATTTAAAGAAAAATTTTTAATTTCCCTTTTGAAGATTCAGCATTTATCATCCATATGACTCAACAATAAAACTGCTGAAGGTCTCCAACACCCACAAGATAGAAACTAACTAGCTGTGATGTATATAAAGACAATATGAAGCAGCAACAAGGGGCTGTTAAAGCTGTGGACAAATTAAGATTGAAACTGTAATATAAATTAATGAACAATTAAAGAAAATTAATAATGGAAATAAAACAATGGCTTCCATAATGTTCTTTCTAAATCACTGCACTGTTAATATAACCAAAGTAATTCAGCTGTTTGTAAGCCAGTTTTCTTCCATGCTGAGACCATAGATAATACTGGAATTATTTTCCTTCTTGTTTTCAGTCTTTATTGTTCTTAATATTTAAATTTCAAAAAAAAAAAAAAAAAAAACTCATATTTGTCTCACTAACGAAATAACCCATGACGCTCATCCATAGGTTGCCAAAGGAAAAATGCACTATCTCCAAATTTTTCTCATGGTATTATTTTTAAAACTATAAATCCCAGAGTAGTATTACCATTTGGGGGCAGAAAAGTTCTAGGCCATTATTTCGATAACCATGATATTATCAAGTCAAAGAGTTGGTGACCATATGTTTTCCTCATAATCTTCAGCCCCGAATGCCAAAGTACAGACTACGTTACAGGGATTCAAGTATCTGTCAACCACCCTATCTGATCATAACAAATACGTTACATAAAACAAATCATATAACCAACTGACCTCTATGAGAAGCATGAGGCAGAATGTCAAATTCATGGTTCTGAAAGAAAAGAAAAAGGTTAATATATATTAGTAACTCAGACCGGATATGTTTCAGTAAAGAAATCATCAACCACCCCTCATTAATGGTACAATCATTTTTTTTTCAAGTTTCCTTCTTCTGCCTCACTCACCCTTAAAAGGGTGGTTGGCATGTTGTGGTTTACAGCTGGACTGTGATATCTGCCCTGTCTAGGCTCAACACATCCGATTTTAGCAAATCCCTAATTAGTCGCCTTTTTATAACATCACTGCTAGCAGGCAGTGCGTGTATACCTTTTTTTTTATTTAACATTCACCAAATGTGGTCTTAAAAAGCTTGAGAATTTTTTTTTTTTTTAATTTTAAAACCTTGCAAAATTAATCAGTGATAACATTCACATACACATGGATAACATTCCAGAGAAATACTGGTCAAGGACAAGAGTCAACAGTAATGAATTAGTTAGAACCATCATAACCGCCCCCAAGCACATGTATGATGCTCTGATTTAACCAAAACTCTAGTGCCCTTAGTGAAATGTTCCAATGTCTGGCATCTCACCGCAACGCATGTCTACAATAATGCAGCAAAACAGGAAATAAAATAACAATTAAATAATTTTGTTCAATATATAAAGATATATAAAAGGAGTAGTCAATAAATATGAGAGACTAAAGCATTAAATGCAGTACATTTACTGAGGCCTAAAAGCAATATGTATCGTTTGACTCACATCATAACCCCATGACCTTTATCACTGAGGCTCACTGGAACATTTCACACCAACTTGGCTTTCAAAAAGCGATTGGGGTGATAAGGAAACCTCCAAATGCTATATTTAATGAATATGTTCATTCAGAGTTGCATCAGAAAGAAACTGAGCTGGCTTTTGATTTTCACGCTGTCTTGTGTCATCTTATCTCTACTCCTTACTGCGATATCTGTGCTTTTTGGCCCAACATATTCCATTTCGGCAAACCTGTAATTAGTAATCTTTTACATGTTCGTAACCCCAACACGACCCAAAACCTATATAGGGAATTATATGTTTCATCTCATTATACTGTGAATAAATTCTCACAACAAAGAGATTATTCCTCCTTTCCCAAGAAATCCTGAGAAGAAAATGTATAAGCCCAGGTCAACTCTAAGCTGCCATCTGAGAAGATACATCTCTTGAAAACTCTGCTGCTGATAATGTCAACATTAAATGATTCACACGAAGAACAAAAGAAAAATGAATAAAAATAACGAATTTCTTACTGTAGAGTTCCTGTTTCCCATAGATTGTGGCACTTTGATGGAACCACCATTAAACGCTGTTGGCACAGACTCCTTCTTGCACGGTATGATATTAAACTCTTCCGAGAATCGTTTGGGTTTAGAATTCAGCCAGAGTGTCATGTTAGAAATGGATGCCTTAATTGTTCCAACAACTGTTCAAAGGAAGAGAAAACAACCTACATATAAAACATATCAAGTGAAGACCTATGGATAAGGGAGCTAAATAGTGAAGTTAAAAAGACTGGGAGGACATGGGGTGAGCTGCATGCAACAGTGAAGGATAGAATGATCTGCCTTGAGTTGGTTGAGGACATATGCTCTATTAGGGGATAGAAGGCAGAAGAAGAAAAAGTGAAGACACAAGGCTGCTACCGTCACTTTCATACCTTTCAACAAAGGCAACAGTGAAAACAAGATACTGGAAACACAGTGTGCATAAAACCACATAAAGCGAGAGGCTGAAAGGCGTTTCTTCCTCTTTGCCTTCAATGGCTGTAAACTCCTGCGGAAAATCCTGGTTGTTCATCCACTTTTGGAATTTACTCTTGTTCTTAAGTTTGCGTTCACAATTGTTTTACAGATTTTGCTGATTTAAGGGTAGACTGCTGGGAGTAGGAAATAGCAGTCCCACTGCCCCACTAACAAGCATGTCGTAAAATTGGACTAACTGAGAGTGTTTCCTTAGAAGTAGGGTGCATTTGAAAGACAAGAAACCCTGGAATGAAAGGAACTATGAAGCTTTCCTGTGATATGTAATGTGAGAGATAAAAGTATTTCCTGAATGTGCGACACTGACGCAATGTGTTGCATGGAAAGAGAAATAAGAAAGGAAGAAGGGATATAAAAAAGAACATGGTTGCAGACAGGTTAAGAGCTGAGAGAATGCAATGGCCACAATGGTCCTGAAATCACCTGCTCTAATCGTGAAAGACTTCTCACCAAAAGCAGGTCTTGCTAGTCATCATTACCATGGGCTGTGACTGTCATGCCTCTCTATAGCATAATATAACACTATTATCTTGAAAGATGAAATGGGGCCAATGACAGCGACTCATCAATCTACTTGACTACCACTTCAGCACGGCAAGTTTCACAAAACCAATATTTACTCACATAGAAATGTTTATGAAGTTCAAAACTGGTGGTTCTCCTGTACATGGAATGTTGCATCTTACTTAGTCCCTCTTTTTCTATCTTAGAGAGTATAGGTTTGCCAGAGAGATCACCAGACTTCTCTATCAGCAGTTTTCTTTCTGGCTTTGTTCTATTCAGTCCTCTATAAGTCAGGGATTGTCGGATGTTGTCTTCCCAGCAAACCCTGGGTCATCCTAGTGGTCTGGTTATTCCCTGGTTCTTGGCCTCCCATGTCTCATATTTCGGTCGATTCTCTCCCATTCTGCATACATGTCCAAACCATCATAACCGTGACAGATCCACTCTAGTCTGTAAGGTCTAAACAAAACTTTAAAACTACCTTCTGTAATTACAATATTAAATATATTGATAAAGTTGTTTGATATTTACAAATAAGGTTTGGAAATAAATACTTTTTAAATATTTAATCAAAAATCTTGTGTTTAAAATAGATTTTTATTATTCTGTGTTAAAAAAATAGGGATCTCATATATGGGGATGGGGGATTTACATGTGAAAAAAAAATGGTGCTTACTACAGGAACTAATCTGACACTCCAACTTACACGAATTTGGCAACTCTGTTTTTCTTTTCTTTTCCACTCTGCCAAGGTGTAAATCCGAGTCAATAAACGTGTCACTAAAAATACATAGAAAAATGGAGTTTGAAATGTAAATAGCTCAGAAATATTTTCACCGAAAATAGCAACAAATATACTATAAAAATGGCAATTTAAATGTATCAATCAATTTGTACTAAACATACATAAAAAATTTTAATACCAACCTTTTCTCTATATATATACAAGGTTTGTATACTGGTGGATCCTAGTCTCTTCAGAGTTGCAAATGGCATAATTAAATGCTTACTACATATGCAGAAAATATATACCTCCCTCTTTTCTCTAGTTACATAGGTGTGATTGTACATATGTGTGAGTACATCAACAGAAGTGTTATATATATATATATATATATATATATATATATATATATATATATATATATATATATATATATATATATATATATATATATATATATATATATATAATATGCATACACACAGTGGTGCCTCTGTATATGTCCAACTTGGTATACTTAAATGTAAACATTTGTGTCGGGAATACAATCTGTGTGCTAGAACTAGTATGAGTTGAAATGAGTCACAACACTGTGCATTTCCCTTTGTTAAACCTTTGGTGTTAATCAAGGAAAGGCTGCTGCCTCCAGTGCCAAGTGTGACCATATAATGATACTGTTATAAAAAGGCATAGTAATTTTTTTTTACTAAAATACAAAACTCATACTGCGGCATACTGTTCAACATTGTTAACACACATAAAAACTGATACAAAATAAAAAGGGATTCTTCTTATAATTATATGGCAAACCTCTTCATTTGTTAATAGTGTTAATACTGAATAAAAACTAAATTTTAACAAAACACAAATTAAATTAGTTAAATGGTACTCCTCATGAAAGTCACCCCACCCTGTCTGACAGCAAGATTTTGTGGATGTTCCCTTGGGCTGTCCTATGTTCTAAGGAGTTCATTTTGAATGTTTTAAGTAGCGACTACAGTTTCGACAATTTGGGGTCTTTTCGGCAATTTCCGTTACCCGGAAACCGTTCAGAACTTGTTCGGGAAATCTCGGCTGGTTTCCGGATGGGTCCAAATCTCATGAAAATTCGTGATTGGTGGGAATTTGGACCAGCTATAAATAGCTGAAAACAGCGTGGGGGAACCCGATTAACAGCGCATGTCTACGACAGCCGGACTCCTCTGTTTTTCTGTTAGTCATCAGTTTGATTGAAAATAGCGGTAAATTCGAGGTTGGCTTTAGGCCTTAAACATTACCAGATGTGGTAATGCTAGTTACAGTTGAATTCTCCGTCCAATTTTACATTTGCATATAAAATTTCTTTCCAATCTTTGGCTGTTTAGATTTACAGTGACATTTTTTAGCCAATCGCTTGCGGCTGAGTGTTAGTATCAGTTTGATTGTAAATAGCGGTAAATTCGAGGTTGGCTTTAGGCCTTAAACATTACCAGATGTGGTAATGCTAGTTACAATTGAATTCTCCGTCCAATTTTACATTTGCATATAGAATTTCTTTTCCGTCTTTGGCTGTTTAGATTTACAGTGACATTTTTTAGGCAATCGCATGCGGCTGAGTGAGCTGAGTCTCACTGTCTGCCATCTTGTCCAATGACAGTCCAATGTCAACAAAGCCGATACAGAACTGTGCAGTAGGTTGCGCAGAAAAAAAACTTCTTGTTTCTGGGTCACAAGTTTTAGCGGCTGTTTCTTACATCTCATCTCCACAAAAACCTACATATCTCAGCTCAGAAATGACATACAAGCCTAAATGAGGTACCATTGGAAAGAGATTGTTTACAGCTATCTATCTGTGCTGGTTTTATTGGTGTAGAGTAGAGGGCATTTTAAAAATTTGACTGAAGTATTTTAAGTGCATTCAGTTCATTGACTGATCAGAAAAGCAACAGAATAGAAATGTAAATATATACACTTAAAGCTGTGTGAGTAACCATACATGCATATCGGATGTATAGCTTATTTTGGCAGGCTTATTATTCAATAAAACGGAAAAAAAATACAACGTATCTGAAAAACTTAACCAACAGCAACGGAACCATGAATAAAAAGCTAATAACCTATTTCCGATAGCTCCTAATGTACACAGGTAAAATTTATAACATTCGTCGTTATACCGTTTTCTTTTACATCCAGTTGAAACTCTGTCTGTAGTATCAGTATGGTTTGGCCACAGTGAAAAAAGTTTGTCTGAAATTGTCTTCAACATTTGTAACGGTAGCTGTTGCCTTCCAGAAGAAAGCAATAGTACTGGGGCGCCACGGAAGTTGTATTCATGTCTTAATTTCTCAGATTGAAGAGCTAATAGGAATTATCAACATCAAAATGCGCCGAGCCCATCCTGACCTGTTTCGCAATCACATATGATAAGAGCAGCACAGATCAGTCTTGTCTCGCCAAATCCTTATGGCTAATGCATCTTTTTGACTTTCTTCTTGCTCTCTTCCCATCACTATTACCAAGTTTCCGAGTTTCTTACTTCCCGAACATGCCTAAAACACCGACTGTCTAAATTTGTCTAACCAGTAAACACACTGCGGTGTGGCCATCGCAGCTATGGGGACCGAGTATCCGCCGGGATAAGTGGACACCTCTGGGGTGCCCTCTGCTGTTAGCAGGAGCATCACAGAGCAGGGCACTCACTTTCCCTAGCAAACGAAAAGGTTGCTGAAGGCTGAGGACATGGTCTAAAGCCATGTGGATGTGGAAAGCAACGGGAAAACTACCACATTACTATCCCAAGAAACTCATCAATGAATTGTTGGTTATATCAAGCGCCACGACGGATTGGAAAAAATTATAGCAGAAGGCATGGTACCAGGAAGAAGGGGCATGGGCCGACCGGCACGAAGATGGGCACAGGATGTAAGTGACTCCCTGGGTGTGAAAGTTCATGAGGCGGGAGAACTGGCAAGAGACCGAGTTTCTTACAGGCAGACTGTGATGAGAGCGACGTTCTGCAAAGGACCTGCTACACGATGATGAGTTTTCAATTGTCATCTGTCTCGGTGAGGACTGTTTCTTGTGTTTTTCTATTGTATCATCATATTCTTTGTATTTTTTTTTTCAAAACCCATATCCCCACTGCGAGTAAATGTTTTTCAGCCTGTCTCCTTATTGCCCATGTCTCATGTGCATATAACATTACAGAATCTATGCAGCACTTTAACACTAATTTTTCTCACAGCAATTAATATTTGTTTTAACTTCTCACTTGCCCGCACGGCGAGAGTTCCTATCGCTCTCATTCATGCCACGGCGGGTCGCACGGCCTGTCCTATGGTGTGGGGGGGGGGGGGTTGTTAGGAAATGGCTTCGTTCGGAGTTCGCTCACCGTATATAATTTTTGTGGGAGGTTGTGTTGTCG